CTCAGTCCGCGCTTAGCTGACGGCAACAACACCAGCATTATGAGGCGCGGTTCAGCCCAGCGCACACCTTTTGCACCTATTTCCATTCCCTCGACCAACGTGCCTGGTGTGACCGCTACTTTTTCCAAGGATGCGACGACAGTGCAGGATCAACAGGATGGAGCGACGGCAGAGGCCGCACGGGATCCACGCACACAGGCGGGGATGGCGGAGGCAAGCACAATGCCATACGTGGTCTCGCTGTCGCTGGCATGCATCGCCATGTGGGTGCGCTCAGGATGAAACCACACGCCCAACGCCCAATGCATGCACATGGCTTCGCCTGGCAGCGGCAGCGAGACCACATAAGGCATTGTGCTTGCCGCCGCCATCCCCGCCTACCTGCATGCATCCCGTGCCGCCTCTGCCGTCGCTCCATCCTGTTGAGCGCGGACTGTGGGAAAGAAACAATCGTGACGCCTCAAACGTGCATCTGCGGTTTGAGGCGTCTCAAGAATGCTCAACGTGCCTTGATAACTTACTCCACATGCTCTGCTCTGCTATGTTTGTTCTGCAATGCACTCACGTCTTGGAAGGCCTTTGCATCTTCCGACTCCTCCAACAGCTTCTCCACGTCCTCTAGGCTGATCTCCTTCTGCATTCCCCCTGAATCGCTACCTCACCTCCCTTCCCCCGGCCCTCCCCTTCCCCCCTTGCCCCAAATCACAATCTGACTGGACCTGCCTTGTTCTAATCAACTTCGCACTCACGTCTTGGAACGCCTTGGCGTCCTCTGACTCCCCCAACAGCTTCTCCACGTCCTCCAGGCTGATCTCCTTCTGCAGCTCCTGAATCGCCATGTGCCCTGCCTTCAGGCTCTCAAACACCTGTGCCTGCCGGCTCGTGATCTCAATGTCTGCCAGCTGTGAAAGAGAGAGAGGGAGCGAGGGACAAAGAGGAAGGGAAGGGGGAGAGAGGAGCAAATGAGTCGAACTCATCTCCTTCTGCAGCTCCTGAATCGCCATGTGGCCTGCCTTCAGGCTCTCAAACACCTGTGCCTGCCGGCTCGTGATCTCAATGTCTGCGAGCTGTGAAAGAGAGAGAGGGAGAGCGAGGGACAAAGAGGAAGGGAAGGGGGAGAGAGGAGCAAATGAGTCGAACTCATCTCCTTCTGCAGCTCCTGAATCGCCATGTGGCCTGCCTTCAGGCTCTCAAACACCTGTGCCTGCCGGCTCGTGATCTCAATGTCTGCGAGCTGTGAAAGAGAGAGAGGGAGAGCGAGGGACAAAGAGGAAGGGAAGGGGGAGAGAGGAGCAAATGAGTCGAACTCATCTCCTTCTGCAGCTCCTGAATTGCCATGTGGCCTGCCTTCAGGCTCTCAAACACCTGTGCCTGCCGGCTCGTGATCTCTGTGTCTGCGAGCTGCGGTGGAGGAATGGGGACAAGAGACACGGTCAAGAGGCAGGGGCACGAGCCAGGGGCACGAGGCAGGGGCACGAGAATCGCCTTGAGGATCTCAAACACTTGCGCCTGCGGGCTCGTGATCTCGATGTCCGGCAGCAACGGGGGAAGAAAGGGGCACAAGAGGAAAGGACACGATAATCATCGTTAGGCACGATGTTTTTGAGAATTATCTAAAACACCCTGCAGTGGGGGAAGAAAGGGGCACAAGAGGAAAGGACGCGACAATCACTTTTAGGCACGATGGCCACGTCTGAAGCTTCTTCTCTTCCCCTTGAGCGCCAAACATCGCATTTAGGGCTCAAGAAACCCCTCGTTCAAGAAACGCTCACCTGCTGCTCGACGCGCAGCACCTGCGCGTCTGATTTCGCGAGCGCGTCCGTCTGGAGCTTCTTCGTCTTGAGCGCCAGCAGCGCGAGGTCCTTCTTGCCCTCTTCACATCACTTTTTCCCCCCTCCCCCACCCTCCACCCCCCCACCCTCCCCCCCCCCCACACCTCGTTCGCTCCACGAGCCCACACGCTCTACCCCACCCCCCCATTCCCCCCGGCTTCACTTCCCCACCCCACCTCTTCCACAAGCCCCTCCCCTCAACCCCCCGGCCAGAAGCCCTCACCTGCTGCTCCACCCGCAGCACCCACGCGTCCGACTTCGCGAGCGCGTCCGTCTGAAGCTTCTTCTTCTTGAGCGGTGGTGATGCACGTCCCATCCCCCCCTCTTCTACTCACCACAGGGTCAGCTCAACCCTCACCTGCTGCTCCATGCGCAGCACCCACGCATCCGACTTCGCCAGCGCGTCCGTCTGGAGCTTCTTCTTCTTGAGCGATGGCGACGCGCGTTCCATCTCCCCTCCTCTGCTTACCTCAAGGTCAACTCATCCCTCACCTGCTGTTCCACCCGCAGCACCCACGCATCCGACTTCGCGAGCGCGTCTGTCTGAAGCTTCTTCTTCTTGAGCGCCAGCAGCGCGCGGTCCTTCTTGCCCTCCTTGATCATCTGCCGCACCACCTCCTGCTCCCGCTCGATAACTGCACCAACCTTCAAACGGGGATAGAAAATATTGCGTCCGTCTGGAGTGGAGTTGAGATTTAAACAAATCGAAGTAACAGAAACCGCTACAGTGGTTACATAAAACATACCCTGCCTTTCATTGATACTACCTGGCTTATCTAAAGTTTCAACTATAAGAGGATAATAACAATGGGCTACACCGTTTCTTTTCCTGGTACAATACTGCTTCTCTGATTAACCAACTACAAAAACTATTCGCAAGCGGATCGATCCTACCTTCTTCTGATACTCCGCTAGTTTCCGCTTCTGCGTTCGCAGCGACAGTATCGCCTTATCGACATCCGTAACGGCTTTCCGCTTCGAGAATAGTCCTCCCATCTCTGGAGCGCAATGAACGCCGCTACTAGTCGCGGTGCTGCTAACGCCGATTAGCAGAATACGTCAAGAATATGTAACGTCGTGAGTAAGAGCAGTGCGAGAACGATCTACGAATACTGGCGAAGATGAATTTCGTGGGTGTCAGTGCCGAAAGTGAACCTGAGACAAAAGAGTCGCTGGTACCGGGGCAGGACGAATAAAAGAGGACTCTAAACGCCACTGGCGGAAAGCCAGCTAGAACAAAGGATCGCAGCGTAAGAGTAGCTTCTATGTCGTTATCTCTGGCTCTCGCTTGCCGCTGCTATCACCACTCGTTGCAATCCCGCTGAAAAGGGCTTTCGGGCATCCTCGATATTGCCGTGCTGTTCCATGTCGGGGCTGTTCGCCAGCACCATTGGCCCTGTTCTGTTGGCGCACAACCAAATCGGGCCTCCCGCACAAGCACTGCGGAACGTGTTTTCCTCGAACGGGAGAACCACCCCGCGGCCTCTGCGAAGTTTGGCGCTACAGACAAAGCAGACCTTTTTTTTTTTTACCCATTCGCCAAGGCTACCCAGGATGCTCAACAAATTTGTATCTCAGCCACTCACAAACTTTCGGCCGTGTGGTTTACCCTCGCCTCTCGTCATGTTCAATTTGTTTTCGAGTAAACCTCTCCGATATGTCCCGAGAACGGGCGATGATCACTGCCGGTTATTGTTTATGCGCCCCCTTATTCCTAGGAGATGGGCGCATAGGGTTCGCACCAGCTGTTTGACCATTTTGCCCGAGAGGCAGGCTTCGTAGTAACTTCTGGGCGCACAAGCTGTTTTACGTTCTATTACGCGTTGGCGCACAGCTTATGCTCTCAGGTTCGGGACACAATAGCGAGTTGCGAGGCTAGGGGTGGGCTTTAAGCCTAGTCAAGTGGGTTCCTAGAATATTCTTCGTGAGGGCTCAGCACCCCAAATGCGCCAACAGAACAGGGCCATATCTAAAAACGACGGGATAACGACGGGGTCGGGAAGGTGGGTCTCGGCTTCCTGATCCCGTCAGTTAGAGTTCGTTAACCTCCGTCAGCTTGGTCAGCCCGTGAAAATTGTGCCGAGCCTCCCCCACCATCCAAACCAATTAACAAACTGGGCGTCTGGCGAACGCTCACTTTTGTACACCAATTTCAACGTTTAGATGGCATATGGAAGCGGGGATGAAAATTCCTCCCCAAGCAAAACACCATCCCCTTGCAATGCCATCGTCATGCGGCGTTTTTAGAAGCACAGCGGTGGCACAGCGGTTGCACAGCGGACGCATCGCTTCAGTTTGATAAAGGGGGGTTCGTATACCCCCCATTTCCCTCCCAAACACACCTTCAAAATGCCCCCCGCACATTGCTTCTTTTATTTGCGTTTTTTACCCACGTTGAGCAATTTTTGATCAGCGGGCAGCACAAGGGTCAGTGAAGAGCAAATTTCGCGCCATTGGGGGGAAGGTGGGGATGGACCTTCCCGACGCGGTTGGGAAATTTCGTCTTTCGATTGCGCGTAGTTTCTCGGACGGCATTTCGCCCAAACCAGGAAGGAGGGTTCCGCCCCCGTTTCCAAATGCGGTCGCGACGCTGATGCCATCGTTTTTTTGTTGAAGAAACGATTTGCTGGCGAACAGCGCCGTCATCTCGAGGTCTCAGAAATGAAACCTCCCAGCTGACGCTGGCAGTCAAATGAACCTACTGGCCCACCGGTCATCGATTGCTTCGGTTCTGTCCGGCTGGGGGAGCTTCTAGCATTCAGTGCAGCCCAGGTAGTGTTCTTGTTTTCGGGGTCGACCGTTTCGGTCGAACTTGGTAGCGGACTGTGTGTGATGAACGTGGCTGAACTTGGAAGCGAAACGCAAATTTCATACTCAAGGTTCGCCTCTCGGGTCAAAAGTGCAACTTTAGGTTTGATCCTGTTGCGTACATTCACGCACCAAGCCGAATAGGCGGTCACCAGGCGCAATGGTTCGCGTTCGTTTAAAGTACCATGGTTCGTTGCGGCCCATGACGGAAGGTAAGAAACCGTTGTTTAACGCGTGGAGTCGTACTGAACCGCACTGACCAGCACAACACCGCTCCGCTTCAACACCGGAGAGGTATGCAATTTGCAATGAATGCCCCAGCCCAGCCCAGACACGCACGTGAAGGGACACTTGAGCCCAATGCGGCAGCCATTGATGCCAGCGTGGAGCCCGGTTAGGAGCTCGTGACGTAACTCGTCAGCCCACTCTCTCCGCGGAGAAAGTGAATGCTATTTCGTCCTGCACGATTTTTTATTCTGGTGTCCGTTCTCCTCGTTTATAGCCTCGCGAACGCCGTCATGCTCGGCTGGTTGGGTCTAGGGCAAGTCCAGCCCGAATTCTACGCGGACGAGTATTCGCCAGAGGTTGACTTATCAGGTATGCGGGTTCGAGCTCCGATTGCGACGTTCGCGCTCAATGCGACAATTATTGTTAACGACGGTCGCATGAAATGCGACGATTGGGGTAAAATGCGATCGCATTGGCCCGTCGAAATCCGACGTACTCGCGGACTCCAGAGGCGTGCGGCCTATCACATGCCCCCGAGCCCTGTTACTGTCATGCGCATTGACATTCGTTGTTTAGGTAACAGATTCCACCTTCTCTGCTTCTTAGCTAAGTTTAGGTAAATGGCATTGCGTCGCGCCCGGCATTGGCATTGGCAACAACAGCTCCTTCCACCTTTGCATCAACTTTGGTGCCTTTCTGTTGATAAGCAAGATTCTGTCTCATACCATGCGAAATGTAACAGGGTTACCAGATGGAGAGGAGGCTTCGGAGCTGCTGAGCTGTGACGTCTGGAAGGAGCCTTTGCCTCTCGGTACTCACTCTCTCACACCCGCACCCTCTCACTCACACACTCACAAGCGCAAGCACGCACGCACGCACGCACGCACGCACGCACGCACGCACGCACACACGCACACACGCACGCACACACTTGCACACACGCACACGCACACAAGCGCACATGCCCTCACTCGAACACCACAACCCATGTGATGCTCATTCGCAAATTTCCTTCGCACACGCTATCTCCCCTGTTCTCTGCCCTGCCCTTCCCTTGTCTTCTGTTTTTAGCCCCTTGTACATTGAGAAACATGCAATGTTGTTTCTTATCAAACGTATTGTAGCATGCACACTTCCACACTTCCAATGCACTACAGTTTGATGCTATAATTTTATGCATGGATACACAATAAATGCCATGCATAACTGGAATGGTACTTGATGCAAATCTCTACATCCGTCCGTGCATGATGGCAGGTTCGGAGCGGTTGAGAGCGTTGCTGCGAATCAACAACTTCAGGGACGAGCTGCGCGCTCTCAGGCACCATTTCCTGGGCACCAGAGAGCTCAGGTGCGTGCACCCTCCAGACCAGAGAGCTCAGGTGCGTGCACCCTCCAGACCAGAGAGCTCAGGTGTGCTTCTTGGGTGGGCCCCTGGTGTCTCTCGTGCTATCGGGCACATTCTCAGAGAAAACATCATGCAGACTCAGGAACATGGAAACAGAATCCAAACATGCAACTCCAGTGACCTCAGGTGCGCTCACCAACAGGAAACAGAATCCGAATCAGATTAGCAGGAACATCTCCTCTGTCTCCTTCCATCTGTTTCCCAGGCCCTGCCCATGCCATTCCCATGCCATGCCCATGCCATGCCCACGCCATGCTTATGCTTATGCTCAGGCTCATGCTCCCTCAGGGTGGTGACAGCCGCATGCAACGTGGCTTGCATATCCGCCCAAATTGAGGGCCGAGGCCAACTCTCTCTTCAGGGAAAAGATAATATGCTGCAATGCAACGTTTTTGTTATTTTCTTCTCTCATCCGCCCATGCCCATGCCATGCTCATGCCTTGCCTGCCCGTCCCCCAGGGTAGTGACAGCCACATGGAACGTGGCGGGCATATCGGACCCGCCTTCTCACCTGGACCTCACGGACTGGCTCTTGCTGCAGCAACCTGCCGATATCATCGCCATTGGGTGGGTGGTGTTAGCTCTGTACTGTCCTATCATGGCATCTCATTCCATGTCTGGCATTTGTCGCTCCTTGCCATGCCTCGCCTTCTCTCCTGGACCTCACAGATTGGCTCTCCCTGCAGCAACCCGCTGACATCATCGCCATCGGGTGGGTTGTTTCTCTTTGCTGTCCTCAAAATACTATGTCATGCCATGTCATGCCATGCCGTGTCTGTGGCCTGTGATGCTCCACGCCTCGCCTGCCCACCTGGACCTCACGGGCCTGCTCTCCTTGCAGTACCCAGCCGGCATTATCGCCATTGGGTAGGCTCTTTCCTGCCCTCACAAGCCTGGGGTGCTATGCTATGCCCGCGGCCTCTGTTGCACACCGTTCTCCTCCCCACCTGAGGGCCCGTCACAACTGTCTCTCCCCTCCCTACAGCACCCAGCAGAGCAGATACCATCGCCATCTTCAAGTGGGTGGGTGCTTGCTGCCAGACCATCACCCTCGCTGCTCGCATCACCCCTCACGGGGTTGTGCTGTGCTGTGTCATGCGTGTGACCTGGGTTCACCCTTTTTTTGCGCCCACATGCCGTCCTGCTGAGCGTGGTGGGGGCAGTGTGCTGGGGATGAAAGCACTCGGACAGGAGTCCCTTACTCATCGCATCTCCCTTTGCACCCATGTCTCCTCCCTTACCACAGCTTCCAGGAGATAGTACTTCTGAGCACGGGCAGTGTCTTGGGGATGGACTCAGAGGAGGCCCTTACTTACCGCATCTCTCATTGCCTTCATGTCTCCTCCTAACCCATCGCAGCTTCCAGGGAATAGTCCCGGCCAGCTTCCTAACCCTCTGAGCACGGGCAGTGTGCTGGGGATGGACTCAGAGAGGAAGCTGTTCCTGATTTCTCATTTGAGTTCTCGCTCTTCCCCTTTGCATGCATGCACCCATGTGCCCTTCCCTTCCTCTTGGCAGGGAGATAGTCCCGCTGAGCACGGGCAGTGTGTTGGGGATGGACTCAGAGGAGGCGGTGGGGCAATGGGAGGCCCTCGTGCGCAGCCAGCTCAACGCCGCTGCTGATGATGCTGCGAAGAAGGCTGCTGCTTGCTACTGCTGCTTCCAGAGGCTCGAGAAAGGCTTAGTTCATTCATTCACCCCTCTCGTCGTGTGTGTGCTCTCCCAAATCCCTTGTCTCCCTCCCACACCACCCCGCAGCTTCCAGGAGATAGTACCGCTGAGCACGGGCAGTGTGCTGGGAATTGACTCATTTGCGTTCTCGCCCTTTCCCTTTGCATGCATCCATGTGCCCTTCCCTTCCTCTTGGCAGCTTCCAGGAGATAGTCCCCTTGAGCACGGGCAGTGTGCTGGGAATGGATTCAGAGGAGGCCCTTACTTACCACATCCTCCTCTGCGCTCATGTCTCTTCCTTCCCCATCGCAGCTTCCAGGAGATAGTTCCGCTGAGCACGGGCAGTGTGTTGGGGATGGACTCAGAGGAGGCGGTGGGGCAATGGGAGGCTCTAGTGCGCCGCCAGCTCAACACCGCCGCTGCCAAGGCCGCCAGAAAAGCCGCTGCCAAGGCTGCTTCCACAGGCTCGATCAAGGGTGATGAGCCCACAGCGGGAAAGACCGATGGGGCAGAGCAGGCAGGGACAGACAGAGGCAGCAGGGCTGGTGATGATGAGACAAACAGTGCAAGCAGTAGCAGCGGTGTGCAGGGGAGGAGCACCCCTCCCCCGTCTCTGACCAGCAGCAGCGACCTCTCCTTCCACTCCAGCAGCTTCCGCCTCCCCTCCTCCGCTTCCGATGCCTCCAAGGGTTCTCTTGATGACGGTGCTGCTGCTGCGGCTTCCTTGAGTCCAGCTGATGCTGGCGCTGCTGCTCCCGGCACACCCGAGTGGGAGGGGGGTGCTCTGCAGCAGGGTGAACATGCAAATAAGGCATCCCTGGATAAGATATCGCCCGAGGATTTGATCAGCGTGCCGCTCACTCCTGCTGAGCCCGCCTTTGCAGATGGAGGTGGATATGGTGGGGAGGGGGGTGGCGATGGGCGGGAGGAGAGGGGGGATGTGCGAGCGAGTGAGGGAGGGGTGGAAGGGAAGGTTGGGGAAGGGGAAAGTGGAAGGGAGGACGCAGCGAAGGGAGGGGAAGAGGAGGGGAGGGGAGGGGAGATGGAGGAGTGGGAAGGAGGGGAGGTGGAGGAGGCGTATGTGAAGGTGGCTGGGCGGCAGATGGTGGGGGTGTATCTGATGGTGTGGGCGCGCAAGGGGCTTAGGAGGCACATTCATAGCGTCAAGGCCAGCACTGTGGGCTGTGGACTCATGGGCATTCTGGGGAACAAGGTGAGTGGCTGAGTGCAGTTGAGTGCAGTGCAGTGCGGTGGAAGGAGGGAAGGGGTGGCGGGGAGGCAGATGGTGCGGGTGTATCTGATGATTTGGGCGCGCAAGGGGCTGAGGAGGCACATTCATAGCGTCAAGGTTAGCACTGTAGGCTGTGGACTTATGGGCATCTTGGGGAACAAGGTGAGCATTTGAGTGCGGTTGAGCGCGGCGCAGTGTGGCCAATTGGTGGGGAGACATGCAGATGGTGGTGGGGGTATATCTGATGGTGTGGGCGCGCAAGGGGCTGAGGAGGCACATTCACAGCGTGAAGGCTAGCACTGTGGGCTGTGGACTCATGGGCATTCTAGGGAACAAGGTGAGCAGTTGAGTGCGGTGCAATGCGGTTGAAAGAGATAAATAGCTGTCTTGCATAAGGCCAACACCTTGGTTTTGGCCATTGGTAGAAACAGATGCTAGGAGGTTAAGTAATTTGCCAGGCTGCGCTCATGATTAGCACAAAAATGGAGCATTTGTTGGATTTGAAGTCGTCTGCAGCCAAGGTTTGTAATCAGTGCAGATCCTCGAACCTTGGGACGGGAGGTGAGGCAGTCGTTGCAGAAGCACATGTTGCAGCAGTAGGGACAGCAACAGTGGGAGCAGCAGCATGAGAAGCACCAACAGGAGTAGCCGGCATCATCCACCACATGGAGGAAGAGGGGAGAGCAAGAGGGGTAATGGAGGGCAAGGACGAGGGAGGAAAAGAGGAAGTGGAGGGCAGGGAAGTGGGAGGAGAAGAGGGAGTGCGCGGCTGGGGAGTGGGAGGTTAGATGGAGGGTACGAGGTAGGGGAAGAGGTTTGGGAGGATGAAGGGGAAAGGGAAGGAGAAATGAGAGGAAAGAGGAAAAACGAGAAGGGGAGTCGAAACAAGAAGAGAAAGGGGAAGAAACCGGGAAGAGATGCCACCATAGACACTAGTAATAATTTTCCGCGAACCCTCACACCTTCCATCCGTTGACTCTTCTTGTAACTACGGTTTCCCCTCCCAAATGTTGAGAACCACGTCGTCCACCTCTTGTATGTGATTCTTTCCATCTCTACTTAAAAGAGAAGACTTAGAAGAGAAGGGGGCAGAGAAAGAATCACATCCAATTTCTTTCTCTTTTTAAGTCTTTCCTCCTAATTAGGGATGGAAAGAATCAAATACGAGGGGTAAATGGCGTAATTTTTTACATTGAGGGGGAAGAATTGCTGACACAAGAGAAGTCGGCATGTGGAAGGTTCGAAGGTTCACGAAAAGATCATTTTCGGTGTCTATGGTGGCATCTCTTCTCCGTTTCCGTCCCCTTTCTCTTCTCGCTTTAACTCCCTTTCCCGTTTCCCCTTCCCCTCTCATTTTTCCTTCCCTTTCCTTTCCCTCCTCCCAAACCTCTTCCTCTCCTTCGTACTCTCCCTCATAACGTCCCTCTTCCCAGCCCCACACGTCCCTCTTTTACTCTCACTTCCTTGCCCTACGCTCCCTGCTTTCCCCCCTCTTCCTTGCCCTCCACTACCCCTCCTGTTCTTGCCTCTTCCTCCATGATGGTTGATGCCGGTTACTATTGTTGCTGCTTCTTCTACTGCTGTTCCCACTGTTGCTGTCCCTACTGCTGCCGCAGCTGCAGCAGCAGCGGCTGCCTCACCTCCCGTCCCAACGTTTGAGGACCTGCACTGATTACGAAGCTTGGCTGCAGACGTCTTCAAATCCAACAAATGCCCCATTGTTGCGTTAATGAAGCTTCTACTACTGCGCGTGAACATTTGCTAGGCAGCGCTCATGAATGCAACCCTGTCTCCTCACCTTCTCTGCTTTGTTGCAGAACTTGGAGGTTGAGTGTGGTGGTGCATGTGACGTCATGTGCTTTCATCTGTGCACATCTAGATGCGCCCTTGTGCCACCTCCCTCATGCCACCTCCCTCGTGCCACCTCCCTCATGCCACCTCCTTCGTGTCCCCTCTCTCATGCCACCTCTCTCGTGCCACCTCCCTTGTGGTACCTCCCTCATACCCCCTCCCTCATCATCCCAATCCCTTCACACCGCAATGCAGGCCTCAGTGACAGTGAGCATGTCGGTGCATGAGACGCAATTCACCATCATCTATGCACTTCTCAACGCGGGGGATGGAGGGGCGTGCCAATGCTGCCCTCACATCACCTCCCTTGCTTCCCACCTCCTTCATCATTCCAACCCCTTCAAATCGCTATGCAGGGTTCAGTAGCAATTAGCATGGCGGTGCACGAGACGCAGTTCACCTTCATCTGCGCCCATCTCAATGTGGGGGAGGAGCGTGCCAGTGCTGCCCTCTCACACCATATCGCTCTTGTCACCTCCCTCGTCCCATCTCCTTCATTTCGCTATGCAGGGTTCAGTAGCAGTTAGCATGTCAGTGCACGAGACGCAGTTCACCTTCATCTGCGCCCATCTCAACACGGAAATGGAGCGTGCCAATACCACCCTCATACCACCTCCCTATGTTTCACCTCCCTCTACTCCAGGGTTCAGTAGCGATAAGCATGTCGGTGCATGAGACGCAATTCACTTTCATCTGCGCACATCTCAACGCGGGGGAGGAGCGTGCCGACGCTGCCCGTCGCACATTTGACTTCCTCGAGATTCTTCGCCGCACCGCCTTCCCCCGAGAGCTGCCGGATCCATGGACTGCTAGACTGGCAGAGACTATTACCGAGCACGAGTAAGCTGTGTGCGGTGGTGTGCGGTGGTGTGCGGTGGTGGGTGGTGGTGGTGTTGTGAGGCACACACAGGTATGCAAGGCTTGTTGGCGCACATTTGACTTTCTGGAGATCCTCCGCCGCACCGCCTTTCCCAGAAAGCTGCCAGAGACCATTACAATTTTTGAGGCGCCTCAAAAACCGCCTTTCCCAGGAAGCTGCCAGGGACCATCACATCACAAAGCACGAGTGAGCGGAGTACGATGCGTAGTGGGTGAGCACGGTTTGTTGCGATGGATAGTGCAAAGAGTGTTTGAAGAAGTGCAAAGAGTGTTTGAAGAAGTGCAAAGAGTGTTTGAAGAAGTGCAAAGAGTGTTTGAAGAAGTGCAAAGAGTGTTTGAAGAAGTGCAAAGAGTGTTTGAAGAAGTGCAAAGAGTGTTTGAAGAAGTGCAAAGAGTGTTTGAAGAAGTGCAAAGAGTGTTTGAAGAAGTGCAAAGAGTGTTTGAAGAAGTGCAAAGAGTGTTTGAAGAAGTGCAAAGAGTGTTTGAAGAAGTGCAAAGAGTGTTTGAAGAAGTGCAAAGAGTGTTTGAAGAAGTGCAAAGAGTGTTTGAAGAAGTGCAAAGAGTGTTTGAAGAAGTGCAAAGAGTGTTTGAAGAAGTGCAAAGAGTGTTTGAAGAAGTGCAAAGAGTGTTTGAAGAAGTGCAAAGAGTGTTTGAAGAAGTGCAAAGAGTGTTTGAAGAAGTGCAAAGAGTGTTTGAAGAAGTGCAAAGAGTGTTTGAAGAAGTGCAAAGAGTGTTTGAAGAAGTGCAAAGAGTGTTTGAAGAAGTGCAAAGAGTGTTTGAAGAAGTGCAAAGAGTGTTTGAAGAAGTGCAAAGAGTGTTTGAAGAAGTGCAAAGAGTGTTTGAAGAAGTGCAAAGAGTGTTTGAAGAAGTGCAAAGAGTGTTTGAAGAAGTGCAAAGAGTGTTTGAAGAAGTGCAAAGAGTGTTTGAAGAAGTGCAAAGAGTGTTTGAAGAAGTGCAAAGAGTGTTTGAAGAAGTGCAAAGAGTGTTTGAAGAAGTGCAAAGAGTGTTTGAAGAAGTGCAAAGAGTGTTTGAAGAAGTGCAAAGAGTGTTTGAAGAAGTGCAAAGAGTGTTTGAAGAAGTGCAAAGAGTGTTTGAAGAAGTGCAAAGAGTGTTTGAAGAAGTGCAAAGAGTGTTTGAAGAAGTGCAAAGAGTGTTTGAAGAAGTGCAAAGAGTGTTTGAAGAAGTGCAAAGAGTGTTTGAAGAAGTGCAAAGAGTGTTTGAAGAAGTGCAAAGAGTGTTTGAAGAAGTGCAAAGAGTGTTTGAAGAAGTGCAAAGAGTGTTTGAAGAAGTGCAAAGAGTGTTTGAAGAAGTGCAAAGAGTGTTTGAAGAAGTGCAAAGAGTGTTTGAAGAAGTGCAAAGAGTGTTTGAAGAAGTGCAAAGAGTGTTTGAAGAAGTGCAAAGAGTGTTTGAAGAAGTGCAAAGAGTGTTTGAAGAAGTGCAAAGAGTGTTTGAAGAAGTGCAAAGAGTGTTTGAAGAAGTGCAAAGAGTGTTTGAAGAAGTGCAAAGAGTGTTTGAAGAAGTGCAAAGAGTGTTTGAAGAAGTGCAAAGAGTGTTTGAAGAAGTGCAAAGAGTGTTTGAAGAAGTGCAAAGAGTGTTTGAAGAAGTGCAAAGAGTGTTTGAAGAAGTGCAAAGAGTGTTTGAAGAAGTGCAAAGAGTGTTTGAAGAAGTGCAAAGAGTGTTTGAAGAAGTGCAAAGAGTGTTTGAAGAAGTGCAAAGAGTGTTTGAAGAAGTGCAAAGAGTGTTTGAAGAAGTGCAAAGAGTGTTTGAAGAAGTGCAAAGAGTGTTTGAAGAAGTGCAAAGAGTGTTTGAAGAAGTGCAAAGAGTGTTTGAAGAAGTGCAAAGAGTGTTTGAAGAAGTGCAAAGAGTGTTTGAAGAAGTGCAAAGAGTGTTTGAAGAAGTGCAAAGAGTGTTTGAAGAAGTGCAAAGAGTGTTTGAAGAAGTGCAAAGAGTGTTTGAAGAAGTGCAAAGAGTGTTTGAAGAAGTGCAAAGAGTGTTTGAAGAAGTGCAAAGAGTGTTTGAAGAAGTGCAAAGAGTGTTTGAAGAAGTGCAAAGAGTGTTTGAAGAAGTGCAAAGAGTGTTTGAAGAAGTGCAAAGAGTGTTTGAAGAAGTGCAAAGAGTGTTTGAAGAAGTGCAAAGAGTGTTTGAAGAAGTGCAAAGAGTGTTTGAAGAAGTGCAAAGAGTGTTTGAAGAAGTGCAAAGAGTGTTTGAAGAAGTGCAAAGAGTGTTTGAAGAAGTGCAAAGAGTGTTTGAAGAAGTGCAAAGAGTGTTTGAAGAAGTGCAAAGAGTGTTTGAAGAAGTGCAAAGAGTGTTTGAAGAAGTGCAAAGAGTGTTTGAAGAAGTGCAAAGAGTGTTTGAAGAAGTGCAAAGAGTGTTTGAAGAAGTGCAAAGAGTGTTTGAAGAAGTGCAAAGAGTGTTTGAAGAAGTGCAAAGAGTGTTTGAAGAAGTGCAAAGAGTGTTTGAAGAAGTGCAAAGAGTGTTTGAAGAAGTGCAAAGAGTGTTTGAAGAAGTGCAAAGAGTGTTTGAAGAAGTGCAAAGAGTGTTTGAAGAAGTGCAAAGAGTGTTTGAAGAAGTGCAAAGAGTGTTTGAAGAAGTGCAAAGAGTGTTTGAAGAAGTGCAAAGAGTGTTTGAAGAAGTGCAAAGAGTGTTTGAAGAAGTGCAAAGAGTGTTTGAAGAAGTGCAAAGAGTGTTTGAAGAAGTGCAAAGAGTGTTTGAAGAAGTGCAAAGAGTGTTTGAAGAAGTGCAAAGAGTGTTTGAAGAAGTGCAAAGAGTGTTTGAAGAAGTGCAAAGAGTGTTTGAAGAAGTGCAAAGAGTGTTTGAAGAAGTGCAAAGAGTGTTTGAAGAAGTGCAAAGAGTGTTTGAAGAAGTGCAAAGAGTGTTTGAAGAAGTGCAAAGAGTGTTTGAAGAAGTGCAAAGAGTGTTTGAAGAAGTGCAAAGAGTGTTTGAAGAAGTGCAAAGAGTGTTTGAAGAAGTGCAAAGAGTGTTTGAAGAAGTGCAAAGAGTGTTTGAAGAAGTGCAAAGAGTGTTTGAAGAAGTGCAAAGAGTGTTTGAAGAAGTGCAAAGAGTGTTTGAAGAAGTGCAAAGAGTGTTTGAAGAAGTGCAAAGAGTGTTTGAAGAAGTGCAAAGAGTGTTTGAAGAAGTGCAAAGAGTGTTTGAAGAAGTGCAAAGAGTGTTTGAAGAAGTGCAAAGAGTGTTTGAAGAAGTGCAAAGAGTGTTTGAAGAAGTGCAAAGAGTGTTTGAAGAAGTGTTTTGAGACGTCTCAAAACAAAACACTTCTTCAAACACGTTGCGATGGATAGTGCAAAGAGTGGGAGCGCGGCAAGGATTAGTCAGCAGTGCACATACGGGCCTCAGGGTGTTTTTGAGAATTCTCAAAAACACCCTGCAGCATTCGGGCCTCACTGGCATGGTATGCAACTTTTCAAGGCATGTCTGAAATTTGCTTCCTCAAGCTCTCTTGCACCCACGTCCACACAGTGCCACCTCAACCTCAACCTGATCCCCTTTAACACTCTCAACTACCCTACCGGCTGGAGCTACCTCCGTCCCTCCAACCCCACTTCCTCTCCTCCCCCTCTCCCCTTCCCCTCCACCAGCCGGTGTTTTTAATCAGCGATATCAACTGCTGTCTGGGGCAACTTCCTAATTTCATCTCCACTCCTCCATTCTCTCTGCCCTGCTCCCCATCCCCTCCCCGCTTTACCCCCCTACCCCTCCCCCAGTCGCGTGTTCTTCTTTGGAGATCTCAACTACCGCATGGAGCTGCCCCCCTAACCCAATCTCTCCCCTTCGCCCTTTTCACAACCCTTCCTTCTATTATGCCAGCCGCATATTTTTCTTTGGCGATCTCAACTACCGCCTCGAGCTGCCTTCCAGGTCCCCCTAATCATCACGTCTCTCCTCCCCTCCCACTCACCCCACACCCCGTCCCCCCTTCTCCCCCAGTCGTGTGTTCTTCTTTGGTGATCTCAACTATCGCATGGAGCTGTCCCCTAACCCAATCTCTCCCCTTTGCCATTTTCACCACCCGCCCTTCTATTCTGCCAGTCGCGTGTTCTTCTTTGGCGATCTCAACTACCGCCTCGAGCTGCCAGACCAGGAGGCGAGAGCGCTGCTGGCCAAGAGAGACTGGGAGGCACTGCTGCAGCACGACCAGGTGAGATGCGGTGCAGTGCGGTGCTGCTAGATGCTCCAGCATGGTATGCGGTGCTGTGTGGTGCTATGAAGTGCCGTGCTATGGCCGGGGCGGTGCTGCAGTGGGAATGAGTGGTGTGGCTCTGTGCCTTTAGACCTGTCGGATTAGGAAACACGTGCACTGCTGGCCAAGCTAGATTGGGAGGCACCGCTGTAGCACGAATGGAAACTGGTGCAGTATGCCTTCTGTTTGCACCCTAAACGCTTCCCTTTCTACATATCCACGCCCATAAACCACCTTTGTTGAAAAAACTTGAAAGCAATACAAGCACCCTACTCCTGGAACTGCAGTGGGAGCTCTCAGGGGGAAGCGCACTCACAGGGTGGCGCACCCTCAGTCTGAGGCGGGACGGCCCCATCTTCTCCGCGTCAACCTACAACCACTGTAAATGATGCGCCTCAAAAGTTGTGACTTTTGAGTCGACTCAAAAGTCACTCAAGAGTCGACTCAAAAGTCACTCAAGAGTCGACTCAAAAGTCACTCAAGAGTCGACTCAAAAGTCACTCAAGAGTCGACTCAAAAGTCACTCAAGAGTCGACTCAAAAGTCACTCAAGAGTCGACTCAAAAGTCACCGCGCCAACCTACAACCACTGTAAATGATGCGCCTCAAAAGATGTCTGTACCCACCCCCCTCCCTCCCTCCCCCACTTCCTTCCTGCAGCTGCGGTGGGAGCTCTCAGAAAGAAGGGCACTCCCAGGGTGGCGCAATTGGCTCTTGACCGATTCAAAAGTCGTAATGAGGCTCGTCAGATGCGTGATTATGCGGTCTGGAACCTCGTCTCCACTCCCCTTACCCCTCCCTGCAGCTGCGGTGGGAGCTGTCAGAAGGTGGCGCACTCCCACGGTGGTGAGTTGGGCCCATCTTCTTCGCCCCGACCTACAAGTATGCAGCTTCTGAGGCGCATCAAGTTTTTTCCCCTCCCGTCTCTTCCCCTCCCCTTCCACTCCCTCTCTCTCTCCCTGCAGCTGCGGTGGGAGCTGTCAGAAGGAGGCGCACTCCCACGGTGACGCGAGGGTCCCATCTTCTTCGCCCCGACCTACAGGCTACAGGCACTATGTATGAGGCACCTCAAATGCGCAACTTCCCGCCTCCCTCCCCACCCCTCCCTGCAGCTGCGGTGGGAGCTCTCAGAGGGAGGAGCACTCCCAGGGTGGCGAGAAGGTCCCATCTTCTTCGCCCCGACCTACAAGTACGCAGCGGGCAGCAACCGGTACGTGGGTGAAGACGAGGAGGACGGGGAGAAGCGCCGCACGCCCGCCTGGTGCGACCGAGTCCTCTGGTACGACTCGGGAGACGCCACGGACAGCCTCCCCCCCACCAGCATCAGCAGCCCCAGCCCCAGCAGCAACACCACCACCACTGGGATCACCAGCAGCGGCAGCATGAGCAGAAGCGTGGGGGGGTATATGAGTGATGCGCTGCAGCTTGTGTCGTACTCGCGCGCGGAGCTGGCCCTGTCGGACCATCGGCCCGTGGCGGCGGTGTTTGCGGTGCAAGTGGAGGCGGTGGAGAGGGAGAGGTTTGATGCTGCTGTGGCCGTGGCGTGCCGGCAGCTGGATGAAAGGCAGCAACTCGCGATTCCGCACTGTTCGCTCAGTGCTCATGCCGTCGAATTCGGAGAGGTGAGGTTGTCTGTCTCTTTCAAAATCTCTCAAAGGCGACTCAAGTGTGAAAGTGTGGTGTCTGGGGGCTAGGCACGTTGGTGGTGCTGGTGGCGGCGGTGTTTGCGGTACAAGTGGAGGCGGTGGAGAGAGAGCGGTTTGATGCGGCCGTGGCCGTGGCATGCTGGCAGCTGGATGAACGGCAGCAGCTAGCAATTTAGCACTGTTCTCTCGGCACATGTGCTGTGGCGTTTGGAGAGGTGAGTTGTGAATGATGTCAAGGGATGTTAAAATGCGTTGAAGCTGGTCTCATACTCTTGGGTCAAAACCTAAATCACAAGTATAAAACCAAGAACCAGAGAAGGAATTAGAGTAGCGAGAAATTATGTAGGAGATTATGAGGAGAACGAGCAGGGAAGGTCTTTAAAGAGTCTCCAACTAGGGAAATCTCATAAGCTCATCCTTGCAGCAACTCAACTTTCACCCTTGTCATTTTCCAACACATGACATCCATCTTACCCATATTGACCACAGTTGCTGAGCTAGTTTATTTTCTTCCAACCACTTGGCACCAGCTACAGTTAAGTGACGAATGTTCCCAACCCCTACTGGTCCCTACTCCATAAAGAGTCACCCTACAAACTCCCAAAGTTGCCGAAACGAAATTTCAGCAGTTTTCGAAATTCAACCGTTCGTAACTTTCTCGTTCATGATCTGACTGAGGCAATTCTTAGTTCGTCGGAACGCGATCGAACAGAAAAGTCATTTTAGGATCATGTTCAAGCAAAATAGGATTCACACACACTCACGAAATTCAAAACACACCAAAAACATTCTTGCACATGTTCACATCACGCCATGTACAAACATAGGATGGGAGGCAAACAGACGTGAATGCATATGATAACGTTACGCAACAACTCTCCACATTACTTCTCCTCTTCTTTCTCCTTCTCGCCCCCTTCTCCCCTCTCCCTCTCCCACTCTTCTGTCACCCGACGAACCCCTCTCCCTCTCCCAATCTCGACACGGTGCCGCCCGTTTCTCACCCCTCCATCCCTCACCCACATACCCCTCACCCCCTCTCTTCCTCCTCCCCTCCGTCCCCCCCCAGGTGCCCTACGCATCTGTCATCCGGCGAACCATCGAGCTCCACAATCTCGGCACGGTCCCCGCGCGTTTCTCCGTGGCCCCGGCAGGTAGCACCGACACCTCGGCCCCCGGCCCTGCAGGGGGGTGCGGGGCATGGGTGGTGGCGGAACCTGCAGCAGGAGCTGTAGCACCAGGGCACACCGTGACTCTGAGTCTGCACACCTGGGTGGCTGTGCCGGGCACGAGGGTTGATCTGCTGGTGGATCGTGGCGGGCTGCTGGATTTGATTCTCGTGGTCGCGATTGCGGGCGGCGGGGATCTGTTTGTGGCGTGCTCTGGGAGCTACGTGCCGTCCTGCTGGGGCCTGCGGTGGGTGTTGTTATTCCTTGCCCGCCCCCCAGCAAGAACGGCAGTGCCTCTCCCTCTCTTCATCTACACCATTTCCCTCATCCCACCTCCTCTCCCTCCTCCATTCTTGCTGCCGTTTTTATCCCTCCCCACCTGTTCAACACTCCTGTCTGCCGTTCCTCTCCTTCCCCGCTTTCTCCCCAAGCCCTAGTCTATAGGCTCTGACGGGCCTCAAACACCCCATCCTCTCGCTCCTTCACCACGCCGTCGACCACATTCCCTTTCCTTTCCCGCTTCCCTTCATTCGTCCCTCCCTCGTTTTGTCCGCCCCGCTCCCGAACCCCTAGTCTGGAGGCACTGGCAGGTCTGAAGGACCCCATTTGCTCGCTCTCCCTCAAAGCCATCACCCTCATTCCCCTCCTATTTGTCCCCTTATCATTCCTGTCATTCCTCTCCCTCCTCTCTTTCCCCACCCCCTAGTCTGGAGGCCCTAGCAGGTCTCAAGGACCCCATCCGCTCGCTCTCCCTCTTTCCCCTCCCTTTCCGTTTCACTTCACTAATCTCCTCATGCATCTCTCCTCTCTGTCCTCTCTTTCCCCATCTAGTCTGGAGGCCCTAGCAGGTCTCAAGGACCCCATCCGCTCGCTCTCTCTCGATGCCATTGCCACACGCCAGCGGTCCTCCCTCCGCCACACCCTACCTACACCTGCCGCTGCTGCCGGTCACCAGGCCAGCATCCCAGAAGCTTCCGAAACCGACCCTGATAATGATGACAATAACGACTCGGCTGCTGCAGACGGGGAGGACGATCGGCCGTTAGGAGCAGCGGCACGAGCAGCAGCGTCGCCAGCGTCAGACGCATTTGAGGTGCCCAAGGAGGTGGCTCGCATGCTCACCTTCCTGCTCGACTCCGGCCAGGACATCTCATCCGCCTTTGACCCCATCGCTCTCGGCATCGACCTCTCTCTTGATCAGGAGGACACCACTCGGGTGTCTCACTTCCCCTCCTCGCAGTCCACCCCGCACGGGCACCCTCACTCGCTCTCGCACACGCGCAGCGCGAGTCTGTCCTCTGATGTGCTGTCTGCTGCGGTTAGTTCCCTCTCCACCACCCCAGAGAGCAGTTTCAACAGCAACCCTGGCAGCAGCAGCATCAGCAGCATCAGCAGCCCTGGTGGCGGCAGCTTTGGGAGCAGCAGAGGCAGCGGCGGCGGCGCTGCTGGTGGTGCAGGTGGAGTGCTGCCGCAGCTATCCCGCACGTTGAGTCGGGGCGGAGTGGCTGGGCTGTCTACCGCTGCTGCTCTGGCTGTTGCTGCTGCTGCAGGCGCCGTGGGTGCTGCCGCAGGGGCGGTGGGAGCAGCTGCAGCAGACCTCGCAGCAGGAGGAGGAGGAGGAAGTGGAGCAGCAGGAGCAGGAGCAGGGGCAGGGGCAGGGGAAGTGGAAGGGGCAGAGTCGACGCAGTTCCTAGCAGCCAAGGCAGCAGCACTGGGTGCAGTAGCTCAGGAGTTGCAAATTGCACCCATCCGTCTCGCACTCGACACCGGCACACCCTTCCCCACCGAAACCTCCCCGCTCACTATGGCTCGTGCGCTTGTCTCCTTCCTCCTAGCCCTCCCCGAGCCTATTATTCCGCCAAGTGTGGGGGAGGAGGTGGCGTGTAGGGAGGGGTGGGCGCGGGGGGCTGCGGCTACGCTGCTGGCAGAGCGGTTGGGTGCGGCGCAGCTGGGTGTGGTGGACTCGCTGCTGGCGCTGATCCAGGCTCTGCTGCGGAACCGCATTGCGAATCGACTTGCCATTCATGAGCTGGGTAAGGCGTACAATTTGCTGCGTACAGTGCATAGTGTACAGTTCATGTTTGTGGCATTTCACTTGTCATGTTGCTTTGCTTCCGCTGTTTCAATTGTTAGAATCCCCTTGCCACTTTTTCGTGTTGTTGTCTCTACCTGTTTATCGGGCTGGTATGCTTGCAGCAGCCATCCTGGCCTACTGCCTCTTTGGTCCCGTGCCTGCGTTCACAAATTTTGAGGTGTCTCAGAACTGTTTTCCTGTTTCTTCCTTCCTTCCCCTGTGTGTTGGTTTGGGTTGCTAGCAGCGGCCATCCTGGCCTACTGCCTCTTTGGTCCCGTGCCGGCGTTCACAAATGACGAGATGGGAATTGCAACCGCCACGGATGCTGTGAGGATTGTAAAGCGCCGGAGACGCTTCATGCGCCTGCTGATCGAGGATACTCGGCTCCGTTCCAAGTGATTTATCCATACAGTTGTGGTTTCACTTATGATACAATGCCTACGACAAGCCTTTCAGTTACGGCATGTGACATATGGTAGCATGATTACCTCTTGCTAGCTGGGCACTCTATGTTTAAGCTACTGGTAACACATGGTAATCTGCAGGCTATGCACTGTGCTTACACGGAGGAGTTTAAAACCGTACATAACGAATCTCCATAAAGGGGATGGTGGTAGTTTGACACCTGAGTTGTTAGTTACACTATGTATGCACCACTATGCAGTAACCTGTGTTGCCGTGAATGTGATCTTTGAGCCTTTCTCAAGTAACTGGGACGAGAGAGATATATTTTTTATCAATCAGTTGGGTAGGTTTTCTAGACTCCTAGACGTTTTGTGCCATTGGGCAGATACTACCATGGCCAGAAGTTTAGGGCAGTGCAAGACATTTTGTGACCTTTGTATCAGAATCCCCTGCACAGCACCACAAGAAGGTTCAGAGCAGATAAAGAAGTGTTGAGGAATGCAAGGCAAATGGGGTTGTATGAGTGTATGAGACAACACTCATTCGGGTCGCGACGCGGTGAAAACTGGAGAGGCAACCGTTGGAGCAGAACGAAGGATGAGTCACGAGTCATATGGAGGTTAAGTGACAGACCAAGCTGATGCGATTAAGTTGTGTGCTTCAGTACAAAGCACAATTTTCCTAATAGAAAAACACTCACCCAGATAGCAAAGAAAGGCCGTCTCTATATAAGGTCAAAGATACATTCTCTCCCCGTCGCCCCACATCCCATGTGCACAGCTCGCCCATCATGCATCGCCCCACATCCCATGTGCACAGCTCGCCCATCATGCATCGCCCCACATCCCATGTGCACAGCTCGCCCATCATGCATCGCCCCACATCCCATGTGCACAGATTGCCCATCCCGCGCATCACCCCACATCCCATCATCCCAATCGCTTGTTAGAATCCTGTGAAAGGATGAGGACTGAAAATTGAAAGGATTGATCTTAGAATGAAAAGCAGGGGTATACATAGTTGAGCTAGGAGAGTGGGGTTGGTTGGGAGCGTGGCCAAGATTATTGGCCCCCACCAATAATTGGGTTGGAGGAATTATTGGAGCCTCCAATAATCATAGGGCTCCAATAATTCTCTAACCCAACTTTTGGGGGCCAAACATTTTGGCCAAGGTTGGAACCAAACCACAACTAGGGTAAACCCCAGTTGTACACCCAAATCAGGTTTGGGTGCGTAACTCTAGACAAGCAAACTAGAATATGCAGGATAAATTGAATAGAGGTATTCTAACACAACCCCTTAGCCTGCATAAAGCTAGGAGGCTTGAATGAGAGACGGGACAACCCCTGAAGCATGAAGGGGGAGGAGGGGGGGGGCTGTCGTAAGTGAGGATGCAGGCCAGCCGAAGGTGCCGTGCCGTGCGGTGACAGCAGGAGGGCTGTGAAGGAGAAGGGAGAAGGCTGCAGCAGCGGAAGGGGGACGGCAGCGGCAACGGGAGGGCTGCGGCGGCGAAGGGAGACGGCGGCGGCAGCGGGAGAGCTGCGGCGGCGGAAGGGGGATGGCGGCGGCAGCGGGAGAGCCGCGGCTGCGAAGGGAGACGGCAGCGGCAGCGAGAGGGCTGCGGCGGCTAAGGGGGACGGCGACGGCAGCGGGAGGGCTGCGGCTGCGAAGGGGGACGGCGGCGGCAGCGGGAGGGCTGCGGCGGCGGAAGGGGAACGGCGGCGGCAGCGGGAGAGCTGCGGCGGCGGAAGGGGAACGGCGGCGGCAGCGGGAGAGCTGCGGCGGCGGAAGGGGGATGGCGGCGGCAGCAGGAGAGCCGCGGCTGCGAAGGGAGACGGCAGCGGCAGCGAGAGGGCTGCGGCGGCTAAGGGGGACGGCGACGGCAGCGGGAGGGCTGCGGCTGCGAAGGGGGACGGCGGCGGCAGCGGGAGGGCTGCGGCGGCGGAAGGGGAACGGCGGCGGCAGCGGGAGAGCTGCGGCGGCGGAAGGGGAACGGCGGCGGCAGCGGGAGAGCTGCGGTGGCGGAAGGGGAACGGCGGCGGCAGCGGGAGAGCTGCGGCGGCGGAAGGGGGACGGCAGCGGCAACGGGAGGGCTGCGGCGGCGAAGGGAGACGGCGGCGGCAGCGGGAGAGCTGCGGCGGCGGAAGGGGGATGGCGGCGGCAGCGGGAGAGCTGCGGCGGCGGAAGGGGAACGGCGGCGGCAGCGGGAGAGCTGCGGCGGCGGAAGGGGAACGGCGGCGGCAGCGGGAGAGCTGCGGCGGCGGAAGGGGGACGGCAGCGGCAACGGGAGGGCTGCGGCTGCGAAGGGGGACGGCGGCGGCAGCGGGAGGGCTGCGGCGGCGGAAGGGGAACGGCGGCGGCAGCGGGAGGGCTGCGGCGGCGGAAGGGGAACGGCGGCGGCAGCGGGAGAGCTGCGGCGGCGGAAGGGGAACGGCGGCGGCAGCGGGAGAGCTGCGGCGGCGGAAGGGGGACGGCAGCGGCAACGGGAGGCCTGCGGCGGCAGCGGGAGAGCTGCGGCGGCGGAAGGGGGATGGCGGCGGCAGCGGGAGAGCCGCGGCTGCGAAGGGAGACGGCAGCGGCAGCGAGAGGGCTGCGGCGGCTAAGGGGGACGGCGACGGCAGCGGGAGGGCTGCGGCTGCGAAGGGGGACGGCGGCGGCAGCGGGAGGGCTGCGGCGGCGGAAGGGGAACGGCGGCGGCAGCGGGAGGGTTGCGGCGGCGGAAGGGGGATGGCGGCGGCAGCGGGAGAGCTGCGGCGGCGGAAGGGGGATGGCGGCGGCAGCGGGAGAGCCGCGGCTGCGAAGGGAGACGGCAGCGGCAGCGGGAGGGCTGCGGCGGCTAAGGGGGACGTCGACGGCAGCGGGAGGGCTGCGGGGGGGAAGCGAGGGGGAAGGGGGAGGAGGGCTGGATGGCCCGAGGGAGGAGGAAGTGAGGGGGAAGGTGGGGGAGGGCTGGATGGCCCGAGGGAGGAGGAAGATAGGGGGAAGGGGGAGGAGGGCTGGATGGCCCGAGGGAGGAGGAAGCGAGGGGGAAGGGGGAGGAGGGCTGGATGGCCCGAGGGAGGAGGAAGCGAGGGGGAAGCGGGAGGAGGGCTGGATGGCTCGAGGGAGGAGGAAGCGAGGGGGAAGGGGGAGGAGGGCTGGATGGCCCGAGGGAGGAGGAAGCGAGGGGGAAGGGGGGGGGGAGGGCTGGATGGCCCGAGGGAGGAGGAAGCGAGGGGGGAGGGGGAGGAGGGCTGGATGGCTCGAGGGAGGAGGAAGCGAGGGGGAAGGGGGAGGAGGGCTGGATGGCCCGAGGGAGGAGGAAGCGAGGGGGAAGGGGGAGGAGGGCTGGATGGCCCGAGGGAGGAGGAAGCGAGGGGGGAGGGGGAGGAGGGCTGGATGGCCCGAGGGAGGAGGAAGCGAGGGGGAAGGGGGAGGAGGGCTGGATGGCCCGAGGGAGGAGGAAGCGAGGGGGAAGTGGGAGGAGGGCTGGATGGCCCGAGGGAGGAGGAAGCGAGGGGGAAGGGGGGGGAGGGCTGGATGGCCCGAGGGAGGAGGAAGCGAGGGGGAAGGGGGAGGAGGGCTGGATGGCCCGAGGGAGGAGGAAGCGAGGGGGAAGGGGGAGGAGGGCTGGATGGCCCGAGGGAGGAGGAAGCGAGGGGGAGGGGGAGGAGGGCTGGATGGCCCGAGGGAGGAGGAAGCGAGGGGGAAGGGGGGGGAGGGCTGGATGGCCCGAGGGAGGAGGAAGCGAGGGGGAAGGGGGAGGAGGGCTGGATGGCCCGAGGGAGGAGGAAGCGAGGGGGAAGCGGGAGGAGGGCTGGATGGCTCGAGGGAGGAGGAAGCGAGGGGGAAGGGGGAGGAGGGCTGGATGGCCCGAGGGAGGAGGAAGCGAGGGGGAAGGGGGGGGGGAGGGCTGGATGGCCCGAGGGAGGAGGAAGCGAGGGGGGAGGGGGAGGAGGGCTGGATGGCTCGAGGGAGGAGGAAGCGAGGGGGAAGGGGGAGGAGGGCTGGATGGCCCGAGGGAGGAGGAAGCGAGGGGGAAGGGGGAGGAGGGCTGGATGGCCCGAGGGAGGAGGAAGCGAGGGGGGAGGGGGAGGAGGGCTGGATGGCCCGAGGGAGGAGGAAGCGAGGGGGAAGGGGGAGGAGGGCTGGATGGCCCGAGGGAGGAGGAAGCGAGGGGGAAGTGGGAGGAGGGCTGGATGGCCCGAGGGAGGAGGAAGCGAGGGGGAAGGGGGGGGAGGGCTGGATGGCCCGAGGGAGGAGGAAGCGAGGGGGAAGGGGGAGGAGGGCTGGATGGCCCGAGGGAGGAGGAAGCGAGGGGGAAGGGGGAGGAGGGCTGGATGGCCCGAGGGAGGAGGAAGCGAGGGGGGAGGGGGAGGAGGGCTGGATGGCCCGAGGGAGGAGGAAGCGAGGGGGAAGGGGGGGAGGGCTGGATGGCCCGAGGGAGGAGGAAGCGAGGGGGAAGGGGGAGGAGGGCTGGATGGCCCGAGGGAGGAGGAAGCGAGGGGGAAGGGGGAGGAGGGCTGGATGGCCCGAGGGAGGAGGAAGCGAGGGGGAAGGGGGAGGAGGGCTGGATGGCCCGAGGGAGGAGGAAGCGAGGGGGAAGGGGGAGGAGGGCTGGATGGCCCGAGGGAGGAGGAAGCGAGGGGGAAGGGGGAGGAGGGCTGGATGGCCCGAGGGAGGAGGAAGCTAGGGGGAAGGGGGAGGAGGGCTGGATGGCTTGAGGGAGGAGGAAGCGAGGGGGAAGGGGGAGGAGGGCCGGATGGCCCGAGGGAGGAGGAAGCGAGGGGGAAGGGGGAGGAGGGCTGGATGGCCCGAGGGAGGAGGAAGCGAGGAGGGAGGGGGAGGAGGGCTGGATGGCCCGAGGGAGGAGGAAGCGAGGGGGAAGGGGGAGGAGGGCTGGATGGCCCGAGGGAGGAGGAAGCGAGGGGGAAGGGGGAGGAGGGCTGGATGGCCCGAGGGAGGAGGAAGCGAGGGGGAAGGGGGGGGGGAGGGCTGGATGGCCCGAGGGAGGAGGAAGCGAGGGGGAAGGGGGAGGAGGGATGGATGGCTCGAGGGAGGAGGAAGCGAGGGGGAAGGGGGAGGAGGGCTGGATGGCCCGAGGGAGGAGGAAGCGAGGGGGAAGGGGGAGGAGGGCTGGATGGCCCGAGGGAGGAGGAAGCGAGGGGGAAGGGGGAGGAGGGCTGGATGGCCCGAGGGAGGAGGAAGCGAGGGGGAAGGGGGAGGAGGGCCGGATGGCCCGAGGGAGGAGGAAGCGAGGGGGAAGGGGGAGGAGGGCTGGATGGCTTGAGGGAGGAGGAAGCGAGGGGGAAGGGGGAGGAGGGCCGGATGGCCCGAGGGAGGAGGAAGCGAGGGGGAAGGGGGAGGAGGGCTGGATGGCCCGAGGGAGGAGGAAGCGAGGAGGGAGGGGGAGGAGGGCTGGATGGCCCGAGGGAGGAGGAAGCGAGGGGGAAGGGGGAGGAGGGCTGGATGGCCCGAGGGAGGAGGAAGCGAGGGGGAAGGGGGAGGAGGGCTGGATGGCCCGAGGGAGGAGGAAGCGAGGGGGAAGGGGGGGGGGAGGGCTGGATGGCCCGAGGGAGGAGGAAGCGAGGGGGAAGGGGGAGGAGGGATGGATGGCTCGAGGGAGGAGGAAGCGAGGGGGAAGGGGGAGGAGGGCTGGATGGCCCGAGGGAGGAGGAAGCGAGGGGGAAGGGGGAGGAGGGCTGGATGGCCCGAGGGAGGAGGAAGCGAGGGGGAAGGGGGAGGAGGGCCGGATGGCCCGAGGGAGGAGGAAGCGAGGGGGAAGTGGGAGGAGGGCTGGATGGCCCGAGGGAGGAGGAAGCTAGGGGGAAGGGGGAGGAGGGCCGGATGGCCCGAGGGAGGAGGAAGCGAGGGGGAAGGGGGAGGAGGGCCGGATGGCCCGAGGGAGGAGGAAGCGAGGGGGAAGGGGGAGGAGGGCTGGATGGCCCGAGGGAGGAGGAAGCGAGGGGGAAGGGGGAGGAGGGCCGGATGGCCCGAGGGAGGAGGAAGCGAGGGGGAAGTGGGAGGAGGGCTGGATGGCCCGAGGGAGGAGGAAGCTAGGGGGAAGGGGGAGGAGGGCCGGATGGCCCGAGGGAGGAGGAAGCGAGGGGGAAGGGGGAGGAGGGCCGGATGGCCCGAGGGAGGAGGAAGCGAGGGGGAAGGGGGAGGAGGGCCGGATGGCCCGAGGGAGGAGGAAGCGAGGGGGAAGTGGGAGGAGGGCCGGATGGCCCGAGGGAGGAGGAAGCGAGGGGGAAGTGGGAGGAGGGCTGGATGGCCCGAGGGAGGAGGAAGCGAGGGGGAAGGGGGAGGAGGGCCGGATGGCCCGAGGGAGGAGGAAGCGAGGGGGAAGGGGGAGGAGGGCCGGATGGCCCGAGGGAGGAGGAAGCGAGGGGGAAGGGGGAGGAGGGCCGGATGGCCCGAGGGAGGAGGAAGCTAGGGGGAAGTGGGAGGAGGGCCGGATGGCCCGAGGGAGGAGGAAGCGAGGGGGAAGGGGGAGGAGGGCCGGATGGCCCGAGGGAGGAGGAAGCGAGGGGGAAGGGGGAGGAGGGCCGGATGGCCCGAGGGAGGAGGAAGCGAGGGGGAAGGGGGAGGAGGGCTGGATGGCCCGAGGGAGGAGGAAGCGAGGGGGAAGGGGGAGGAGGGCCGGATGGCCCGAGGGAGGAGGAAGCTAGGGGGAAGTGGGAGGAGGGCCGGATGGCCCGAGGGAGGAGGAAGCGAGGGGGAAGGGGGAGGAGGGCCGGATGGCCCGAAGGAGGAGGAAGCGAGGGGGAAGGGGGAGGAGGGCTGGATGGCCCGAGGGAGGAGGAAGCGAGGGGGAAGGGGGAGGAGGGCTGGATGGCCCGAGGGAGGAGGAAGCGAGGGGGAAGGGGGAGGAGGGCCGGATGGCCCGAGGGAGGAGGAAGCGAGGGGGAAGGGGGAGGAGGGCTGGATGGCCCGAGGGAGGAGGAAGCGAGGGGGAAGGGGGAGGAGGGCCGGATGGCCCGAGGGAGGAGGAAGCGAGGGGGAAGTGGGAGGAGGGCTGGATGGCCCGAGGGAGGAGGAAGCTAGGGGGAAGGGGGAGGAGGGCCGGATGGCCCGAGGGAGGAGGAAGCGAGGGGGAAGGGGGAGGAGGGCCGGATGGCCCGAGGGAGGAGGAAGCGAGGGGGAAGGGGGAGGAGGGCTGGATGGCCCGAGGGAGGAGGAAGCGAGGGGGAAGGGGGAGGAGGGCCGGATGGCCCGAGGGAGGAGGAAGCGAGGGGGAAGTGGGAGGAGGGCTGGATGGCCCGAGGGAGGAGGAAGCTAGGGGGAAGGGGGAGGAGGGCCGGATGGCCCGAGGGAGGAGGAAGCGAGGGGGAAGGGGGAGGAGGGCTGGATGGCCCGAGGGAGGAGGAAGCGAGGGGGAAGGGGGAGGAGGGCCGGATGGCCCGAGGGAGGAGGAAGCGAGGGGGAAGTGGGAGGAGGGCTGGATGGCCCGAGGGAGGAGGAAGCTAGGGGGAAGGGGGAGGAGGGCCGGATGGCCCGAGGGAGGAGGAAGCGAGGGGGAAGGGGGAGGAGGGCTGGATGGCCCGAGGGAGGAGGAAGCGAGGGGGAAGGGGGAGGAGGGCTGGATGGCCCGAGGGAGGAGGAAGCGAGTGCGTAGGGGGAAGCGCCGTTAAGCGCGAGGGCGGAAGCGACGGTAGCAGTGCGCCGTTAGGCGCGAGGGCGGAAGCGACGGTAGCAGTGCGCCGTTAGGCGCGAGGGCGGAAGCGACGGCCGCGCAGCGGTGGCGATGCGAAAACGCCGCAAAATCGCGTCCGCGCGGCTGCTATTCACGGTCGGGATTCGGCGGGCGTATGGCGGCGAAATCGCCGCGAAATCGCGTCCGCGCGGCTGCTGGTCGCGACGGCCGCGACGGTCGCGATTCGGCGGGCGTATAGCGGCGAAATCGCCGCGAAATCGCGTCCGCGCGGCTGCTGGTCGCGAAGGTCGCGACGGTCGCGATTCGGCGGGCGTATGGCGGCGAAATCGCCGCGAAATCGCGTCCGCGTGGCTGCTGGTCGCGGCGGCCGCGACGGTCGCGATTCGGCGGGCGTATGGCGGCGAAATCGCCGCGAAATCGCGTCCGCGCGGCTGCTGGTCGCGACGGCCGCGACGGTTGCGATTCGGCGGGCGTATGGCGCCGAAATCGCCATAAAATCGCGCGGCTGCTGGACGAGACGGGAGGGTGGCCTTGCGCAAGGCAGCCGATGGTCTCGCGAAAGGCGGAGCAAGCGTGGAAGTACACGCAAGACACATGGTCCTAGGATCGGAAGGGGCGTGAGCCAAAATGCTCTGATAACATATTAGAATCCTGTGAAAAGATGAGGACTGAAAATTGAAAGGACTGATCTTAGAATGAAAAGCAGGGGTATACATAGTTGAGCTAGGAGAGTGGGGTTGGTTGGGAGCGTGGCCAAGATTATTGGCCCCCACCAATAATTGGGTTGGAGGAATTATTGGAGCCTCCAATAATCATAGGGCTCCAATAATTCTCTAACCCAACTTTTGGGGGCCAAACATTTTGGCCAAGGTTGGAACCAAACCACAACTAGGGTAAACCCCAGTTGTACACCCAAATCAGGTTTGGGTGCGTAACTCTAGACAAGCAAACTAGAATATGCAGGATAATTTGAATAGAGGTATTCTAACATCGCTTGCCCATACCTGGAGCTCTTGCCCATACCTGGAGCTCTTGCCCATACCTGGAGCTCTTGCCCATACCTGGAGCTCTTGCCCATACCTGGAGCTCTTGCCCGTACCTGGAGGGCTTGCCCGTACCTGGAGCTCTTGCCCATACCTGGAGCTCTTGCCCATACCTGGAGCTCTTGCCCATACCTGGAGCTCTTGCCCATACCTGGAGCTCTTGCCCGTACCTGGAGCTCTTGCCCATACCTGGAGCTCTTGCCCGTACCTGGAGCTCTTGCCCATACCTGGAGCTCTTGCCCATACCTGGAGCTCTTGCCCATACCTGGAGCTCTTGCCCATACCTGGAGCTCTTGCCCATACCTGGAGCTCTTGCCCATACCTGGAGCTCTTGCCCATACCTGGAGCTCTTGCCCATACCTGGAGCTCTTGCCCATACCTGGAGCTCTTGCCCATACCTGGAGCTCTTGCCCATACCTGGAGCTCTTGCCCATACCTGGAGCTCTTGCCCGTACCTGGAGCTCTTGCCCATACCTGGAGCTCTTGCCCGTACCTAGCATCACATGTCATCCCACCCACCTAGCATCACATCTCATCCCACCCACCTAGCATCACATCTCATCCCACCCACCTAGCATCACATCCCATCCCACCCACCTAGCATCACATCTCATCCCACCCACCTAGCATCACATCTCATCCCACCCACCTAGCATCACATCTCATCCCACCCACCTAGCATCACATCTCATCCCACCCACCTAGCATCACATCTCATCCCACCCACCTAGCATCACATCTCATCCCACCCACCTAGCATCACATCTCATCCCACCCACCTAGCATCACATCTCATCCCACCCACCTAGCATCACATCTCATCCCACCCACCTAGCATCACATCTCATCCCACTAGCGTGTTTACCCACAGCACGATCCACGCGAGCTTGTGGCACAAGTCCCTCTGCCGCCACCTGACCATCCCCAGCACCCTGCCTGCCATATGGACCCTTGGCCCTTACCCATGCTCATGCCACCTCGAGACATGGTCTCTACCCATGCTCATGCCATGATCCACGCGAGCTTCTGCCGGAAGACCCGCTGCTGCCGTCTGATCATCCCATGTGGAGCCTTGGTCCAAACCCATTCTCACTGCTCAATCCCTCCCCACCATTTCTCTCCCAGCGCTCTATCCCACCTGGAGCGTTTGGCCATAATCCAAGCAAGCTTGTGCCAAAAGTCTTGCTGCTACCGCATGACCATCCCACCTGGAGTCATACTCCATGCCCATGCTCACTGCTCAATCCTCTCCTCAGCACCCCAACCCACCCAGCGTTTGCCCATCCCACTCAGCACCCCATAATCCCACCTAGCACGTTTGGCCATGATCCAAGCGAGCTTCTGCCGGAAATCCTGCTGCTGCTGCCTGAGTCATCCCACCTAGAACCACGACATCTTAACCCAGCACCCCACCATCCCACCATGCCACCCACCTAGCACGTTTAGCCATGATCCAAGCGAGCTTCTGCCGGAAATCCTGCTGCTGCTGCCTGAGTCATCCCACCTAGAACCACGACATCTTAACCCAGCACCCCACCATCCCACCATGCCACCCACCTAGCGCGTTTGGCCATGATCCAAGCGAGCTTCTGCCGGAAGTCTCTCTGCTGCCGCCTGATCTCCGCCTCCTTGGCCCGCAGTCGCTTCAGCTCCGCGCCCTTCCAGTAGTGTGACCGAGCCCGCGCCACCCTGATTGCGTTGTCCGACCTGAGCTTGATCTTGAACCTGTGCGATGGAGGGGGAGGGGGAACAGGGGAGGAGCGACAAGGGGATGGGAGTGACCTCAGCCTCCGTGGGTCTCAGCCGCTTCAATGATGGCTTCAGTGGTGCGTCCTCGCCCTCGCCACTCTTATCGCGTTGTCCCTGCATAGCATGACCTTGAACCTGCGCAATGGAAAGGGAGGGGGGGGAGGTGGGGTGTGGGGGGGGGAGGAGGAGAACGTGGGGAGGAGAGTGTTGCCCTCGGCCTTGCTCGCGTTGTCCGTGCACATCTTTATCTCTCCCCTCGGCCAAAGGCCATCAGCCAACGGCCAATGGCCTTGTCTGCGTAGATGGACAATGCGGGGGCCCTGCCAGAGATTCGTGAGGCGCCTCAAACCGCACTCTCCATCTGCATATTTACCATGACAGAAGGGAAAGGCGGGGTGTGCACAGTGGGGGGTTGGCGGGTTGCGGGGGGGGTGGTGGGCAGGAGGAGGGGGACGGAGCGACAAGAAGATGCGGCAGAGGAAAGAGTAGGCTGAGATATAACCTGATGGCACACAGGGTTGCTTGCACACACGACTGGTCGCAAGCTCTCACGGCCTTATCCCTTTCCCCTCTCCCCCATGCCTCACTCACTCACCCGGTCCCCCATGGCTCAAACTCACCCTCTTTCAATCCAACCCTCCACCATTGATTTCTTCATGCCTCACTCCCCTTGCCTTGCCCCTTCCCCGCCCCTCCCATCGTCCACTCACTTCTTAATGACGCCCCTCTTCAACTCAACAAGCACGCCCCTCCTCTGCCCCGCCCATTGCTCGCCTCTTCATGCCTCACCCCCTTTGCCCCTTTCCCCTTCCCCCGATGCCTCACTTCTTAATGGCTCGATCGACGTCGCCTTTCTTAACCTCCACGAAGACGCTCCTCGCCTGCCCCGCGCCCGCCGCCCGCGTCGCAACCACTGCGTCGTGCGCCGCGCGCAGCGACGGTGCGGCGGAGGCGGCGGAGGCGGCGGAGGCGGCGGAGGGAACGGGCCCGACGGCGAATGCACGCGGGAGGGCGACGAGGGTGCTTAGTCGATGCCTCTGGGACGAAAACGTCTCGAAGCTCTCTGGTGCGGATAATCGGGAAATTGATGGCTGGGAGGTTTGCAGAGTTGATCTGCCCGCGCCGCCTGCGATCCGATCAACGCTCGGCGCGCCTTGCGCCGAGATTGAAAAGTGCGGCGCGCATGACGCGAAAGTGGAGCGAGAGAGGAGATCGGATGGTGCTAGTAGTGCTGGTGGTGCTCGCAATGGCGGTGACGCGTGGGAAGAGGGCGCGACGGAGGACGGCCGTGAGGCGAATCGGGGGACGCACGGCAGCGACGCGGCGGACTCGAGAGAGGCGGCGATGCAGGGCGCGCGGGGGAGTGCGGCTCGGGCGGCGAATGCGGCGGCGGTGCTGGTGAGGGCGGAGCGCAGGTGGCGCGCGGATGTGCGGAGTGCGGAAGCCATAATTTCTTGGCTGCGCGAGTGGTGTGGTGTGTGTGACCCAGCGTTGATGGTGTGCGTTACGTACACGTTAGTACCGTACTCTTGTTCACTAGAAATGTGAATGCCAGATTAATGTTGTACAATAAAATTATTCTTCCAAGCTGAGACTGTTGATAGAAATAGTTATTGCTCACATCACAATGACTCTGATGATCGGATTAGCCAACCAAATCATTGTAAAAAAACAGGTCTATTGAAATTACACTTCTACTAGACCTAGGACTTGCAATACACTAGTAACCTTGTCATATGAGCAATATACACAACAAATTACCCTAATGGAGAATATACCAGACCAGACAAATCACCCCACACCAAGAATCCACATCCCCCCTGTACGCGCACTTCTCTAGATTTATTCATGGCTTATGAATACTACAATCGGGACTTGGGCCTGTTACCACCTTCAAGATTACCCGTTTCCTTCGCCCTCTCCCTCAAAACAAACTTTTGAATCTTGCCCGTCGCAGTCTTGGGCAGCTCCGTGAAAACAACCGTCCAGGGCGCCATATAATGCGGCAGGTGGTCTCGGCAAAATGCAATAATATCCCCCTCGCCCACGCGCGCATGCTGCTGCCCTGGCTTGCGGCACACAAAGGCACACATAGACTCCCCTCACGTGGTATCAGGGCGTGCCACGACTGCTGCCTCCAGCACGGACGGGTGGCGGTACAACACTGCCTCCACCGCTATGCTGCTCACGTTCTCCCCACCTGAGATTATTATGTCCTTTGAGCGATCCTGGTTGTAGGGGGGAAAGGAAACAAGGGTGTGCACAAGGAAGAGTGGGGGAAGTGAAGTGCGTTACGGAGATGTTTGCATGCTGCTGCCATGGTTTGCGGCACACACGGATGGTATTAGGGCGCGCCACGACTGCAGCCTCCAGCACGGACGGGTGGCAGTACAACACTGCCTCGACTCCTATGCTGCTCACGTTCTCCCCTCCTTCCTGATATGATTATGTCCTTTGAGCGATCCTGGTGGGTTGAAGAAGATTGTGTGGAAGAAGGGCAAAGAAGTGGGAGATAAGTAAGGTGTGGGGATAAAGCACTGCCTCCACTGCGATGCTGCTTACGCTCTCCCCGCGAAGTGAAGGCAATTTGCTTCTAGGGAGGGCCATGTTGATGTTACACCCACCTTAGGAGCATTTGAGGAAGAAAGTTGCAAGCAGAGATGCTCACAGCAGAAAGTTTCACCAGGTGGTGCCAGCATCAGCATGGCAGCACCGCAGCGGCTGGTTCAAGAGAATGATTCCAACCACTGGTGTGCTCATGTGCGCATGGTTTGAAAGAACACGGTGGGGACGGTAAGACATCTCACCTTTCACTGGCACCATTCCCCCATCCCACCTTGAGTTCAATGTACCCATCGGGGAGCATGACAGCCAGGTCATCGTAAGTGCACATTGCAACCTCACCATCCCACCACCCAGCAGGCCACACCACAGAGCCCACAATGATTCCAATGTACCCACCGGGATGCAGAGTAGCCAAATCATATTGAGTTGATAAACTTTGCACATTGCACCCTTACCACCTCCCCTCGCAACCCCACCCATCGTTATATGCCACCTTAAAGCGCGCGACCCAAATTCGTTCACCTCCAATTGCTCCTTCCATCACCGCCAACCCACAACCCACCTTGATCTCAATGTACCCATCAGGGTGCATGACAGCCAGGTCCCCCGAGTGGAACCACCCGCCTCGGAAGGCTGCTTCAGTAGCCTGTGGGTCAGCATCATACCCCTTCATCACCATGCCTCTCATCATCACCTCCCCCATGCTGCAACCTCACCATGCTTCCACCCCCTTTCACCACGCACCTTGATCTCAATGTACCCATCAGGGTGCATGACAGCCAGGTCCCCCGAGTGGAACCACCCTCCTCGGAATGCTGCTTCTCTAGCCTGTGGGCCATCCGCATACCCCTTCATCACCATGTTGCCTCTCAGCATCACCTCGCCCATGCTGCGCCCGTCTGCTGCCACGTGGCGCATTGTGACTGGGTCCATTACTGCCAGTCCTTCCAGGGCCATGCACCGCACGCCCTGCCGGAAGGGAGTGGATGAATGAAGCTGGGAGAGGGTGAGGGAAAAGAGGGGGTGGGGGGAAAAAGGGGTTAGGGGAGGACGGGGTGGGGGTTGGAGAGGGTGGGGGCAGAATTGTGAGCCTCAATCCATGGCCTCCGCCCCCCAGGTTGGCTGCATAGCCCCTTCATTACCATGTTGCCCCTCAGCATCACCTCGCCCATGCTGCGCCTGTCAGCTGCCACGTATTGCATCGTGACTAAATCCATTACTGCTAGGCCTTCCAGGGCCATGCACAGCACGCCCTGCAAGTGGGGAGGAGATGTGGGAGAGAGGGTGGTGCGAGGAGAGGTGGTAAAAGGAGGGGTTGAGAAGGGGAGGTAGTAAAAGAGGGTTGGGGAGGAGGGATAATAAATGGAGAGGGGTTGGGGAGGAGAGGTGGTAAAAGGAGAGGGGTTGGGAGAAGAGGTGGTGGAAGGAGAGGGGTTGGGAGAAGAGGTGGTGGAAGGAGAGGGGTTGGGAGGTGAGGTGGTAAAAGGAGGGGTTGGGAAGGGGAGGTGGTAAAAGAAGAGGGGCTGGGAAGGAGATGTAATAAACAAAAAGGGGTTGGGGAGGAGAGGTAGTAGGAGAGGGGTTGAGAGGAGGGGTGGTGGAAGGAGAGGACTTGGGAGGAGCGGTAGTAAAAGGAGCGGGGGTGGGAGGAGAGGTGGTAAAAAAGAAAGGCCGCCACTTTGAAAGCGGAGGATGTGAACAAGAATTGCAAGGGACATGCCATTAGGCAAGACAGGACGAGCGGCAGGAATGGTTGGGCGAGATGAAGCTGGCTGACAAGACGCGCTACACCTGCAGGTCACACGACAGGATGGAGATCACCTACCAGAATACGCTTGCGATGTCTGTCTAAGATGGATGCATTAGCGGTATTCCCCTTGACGAGATGACAATCATGCCGATTCGGGTTTAGGGTACTGCTTGTTATCCCGTCAAGGAGGATACTGCTAATCTACCGTATCTGTTGAAGACAGACATTGCAAGCCCGTTGCAGTAGGCCACTTCCATCTTGTCATCCAACCTGCAGGTGTAATGCGACTTGTCAGCCAGCTTCATCTCACTTTTCCACCTTTCCGATTGCTCGTTCTTTCCGGCCTCACGCCATGTCCTTTGCGATCCTTTTTCCACCTTCGCCTTCGCTTTCCAATCAGTAGCCTTTCTCTTCCGTTTCATCTTTCCCCCTCCCGCTCATACGCCTCCGTCAGCAGGTGCACATGCAGCACTTCAAACCCCATCGGCTCTATCCACAACCAATGCACCATGCACACCTCTCATCACCGCGCCTCTTGCCACTCGCACACCATCACCGGCCCGTCTCCGCCAGTCCGTATGCATGCAGTACCTCCCACCCCATCCCATCGCCTCTATCCCCGCCAGTGCACCTCTACCTAGCCCTCACCTAGCATGAACATCATCACATGAAAAGAGGGTGTTTTTTAGGCCATGGCTTTCTGGCTGCGGGAATGGTGCGGCGTGGCTTAGTGATGATGGTGTGTTATAGTGGCTTCGTACACGTTAGTACCGTGCTCTCGTTCCCTAAAAAAAAAGAGTGCCGCATTAGTGTAATACAGTACAATTATCCATCCAAGCTGAGACTCTTGATAACACCAGGTACACTGATTTATTGGTTGCAATGACTCCGATGATTTGATCAGCCAACCCAAATCGTTGTAAAAAAATACTGCTCTTGCGATTAGATTTCTATCAGATCTAGGACTTGCAACCTTGTCATGGTGAGAAATATACACAACAAATCACCCTAGTGGGGAATATACTAGACACATCAGCTCACCACAAAAATCTGCAGCTCCCGCTACATTTATTCCCCCTACTGTAGAACTATCCAAGCCTACGAATTTCATAATCGAGACTTGGGCCTGTTACCACCTTCAAGGTTACCCATTTCCTTTGCCCTCTCCCTCAAAACAAACTTTTGAATCTTGCCCGTCGCGGTCTTGGGCAGCTCCGTGAAAACAACCGTTCTCGGCGCCATATAATGCGGCAGGTGGTCGCGACAAAACGCAATAATATCCCCCTCGCCCACGTGCGCGTGCTGCTGCCCTGGCTTGCGGCACACAAAGGCACACACGGACTCCCCCCACATAGTATCAGGGCGCGCCACGACTGCCGCCTCTAGGACGGACGGGTGGCGGTACAACACTGCCTCCACTGCTATGCTGCTCACGTTCTCCCCGCCTGATATTATTATGTCCTTGGAGCGATCCTGGTGGGAAAGGGAAGGGTGGGCTTGAGCAAGAGAGATGAGTGGAGAAAGGTGCGACGGGTGTGGCAATACAGCACTGCCTCCACCGCTATGCTGCTCACGTTCTCGCCGCCCGATATGATTATGTCCTTGGAGCGATCCTGGTTGCAGGCAGGAAGGGAAGGAAGGGTGTGCACAAAGGAGAGTGGGAGAAGTCAGTGGCATTAGGGAGGTGTGTGCATGCTGCTCCCCTGGTTTGCGGCACACAAAGTTGCAGAGGGACTCTCCCAACATGGTGTCAGGGCGCCACCACCACAGCCGCCTCCAGCACGGCGGGGTGGCGGTACAGCACTGCCCGATATGAATATGTCCTTGGAGCGATCCTGGTGGGCGAGGGACGGGTGTGATGAGCAAGAGAGGAAACGTGGGCGGATGGGATACAGCACTGCCTCCACCACTGTGCTGCTCACATTCTCCCCGCTTGATATGACTGATATGACTATGTCCTTTGAGCGGTCCTGGTTGGGGGAAGGGAACGAAGGTTGTGCGGAAGAGAGGAGAAGTTGGGGGCGGGGATACAGCACTGCCTCCACTGCTATGCTGCCCACATCTCTCTGCCTCATATGATCATGTCCTTGGATCCATCCTGGTTGCGGGAAGGAAGAGTGCGTGCAAGAAAGCGAGAGATGTGCAGGTTGGCGCTGAATCTGTTTTTTGAGAATTCTCAAAGAACAGAAAGTGGGAGATGTGGAGGCCGGCGGCGAGCGGTGGGGACATGAGTGGTGCTAGTGGAGCCAAGTTGGGCTGAAACAGGTTCAGGAAGAGGGATGCGAGCCATGCTAGCACTAAAGCCTGTGTAATGTGCAAGTCCGAAGAAGGAGGGGAAGAAAGCTGCATGTCAAGACGTCCACAGCGGTTGCATTACACCCTGCCAGCAGCGCTGCATCATTAAGAGTATCCTGCCAGTCTGGCAGCACTGCAACGGCTGACGGAAGAAAGAGTGATGGCAATCACTAGGTGTCTCACCTTTTACCCCACCATCTCACCTTGCACCTCAGGATTCCATCATCCCCTCAACCCCCCACCCCACCTTGATCTCAATGTATCCATCGGGGTGCATGGCCGCGAGGGCATTCTAAGTCTGACTCAAAATGCACCTTCCACCCTCACCATCCCACCTTGCACCCTCTCCCACCCCCATCCCACCATCCCACCTTGAGTTCAATGTACCCATCGGGATGCATGACAGCCAGGTCCCCCGAGTGGAACCATCCCCCTCGGAATGCTGCTTCTGTAGCCTGTGGGTCATCAGCATACCCCTTCATCACCATGTTGCCTCTCATCATCACCTCCCCCATGCTGCGCCCGTCCGCTGCCACGTGGCGCATTGTGACTGGGTCCATTACTGCTAGGCCTTCCAGGGCCATGCACCGCACGCCCTGTTGTTGGGGAGGAGATGGGGAGAGAGAGGGTGTGGGGGAGGAGTGCATGCGGGGGTAACAGGGTAGTGGGAGGAGTGCATGCGGGGGTAACAGGGTAGTGGAAGGAGTGCATGCGGGGGTAAGAGGGTAGTGGAAGGAGTGCATGCGGGGGTAAGAGGGTAGTGGGAGGAGTGCATGCGGGGGTAAGAGGGTAGTGGAAGGAGTGCATGCGGGGGTAACAGGGTAGTGGGAGGAGTGCATGCGGGGGTAACAGGGTAGTGGGAGGAGTGCATGCGGGGGTAAGAGGGTAGTGGAAGGAGTGCATGCGGGGGTAAGAGGGTAGTGGGAGGAGTGCATGCGGGGGTAAGAGGGTAGTGGGAGGAGTGCATGCGGGGGTAAGAGGGTAGTGGAAGGAGTGCATGCGGGGGTAACAGGGTAGTGGGAGGAGTGCATGCGGGGGTAACAGGGTAGTGGGAGGAGTGCATGCGGGGGTAACAGGGTAGTGGGAGGAGTGCATGCGGGGGTAACAGGGTAGTGGGAGGAGTGCATGCGGGGGTAAGAGGGTAGTGGAAGGAGTGCATGCGGGGGTAAGAGGGTAGTGGGAGGAGTGCATGCGGGGGTAAGAGGGTAGTGGAAGGAGTGCATGCGGGGGTAAGAGGGTAGTGGAAGGAGTGCATGCGGGGGTAAGAGGGTAGTGGAAGGAGTGCATGCGGGGGTAAGAGGGTAGTGGAAGGAGTGCATGCGGGGGTAAGAGGGTAGTGGAAGGAGGGGGTCAGAGAGTTTGTGTGACCCTGTCCATTCCCGCACGCCCTTCCAGGGCATTGCGACGCACGCCCTGCGTGATGGAGGGGAGTGAATGTGGTGGGAGGAGAAAGGTGGTGGTGGGGGAGATTGTGGTGGGAGACGATTGTGGTGGGGGGAGAGGGTAGTGGGAGGAGAGAATGGTGGGAGAAGTTGGTGCGCCCCTAACCACTATTCCGTGCACTTCTCCCCCCACCCACCACTCACCATCCATAAGCCTCTATTCCCCACCCCCACCCCGCCCAGCATCCAAAGTCTCTCACCCCACCTGTCTCGCCTTGAGCCTCGCCCGCCGCTCATTTTCATCCACCCCTCGCCACCGCTCATGCTGCCACTCGCACACCACAGCCGGCCCGTAAGTCTCTGTGAGCCCGTATGCATGCAGCACGTCAAACCCCATCGCCTCTATCCCCACCAATGCACCTCTACCTAGCCCTCCCATCACCCAGCAGGAACATCATCATGTGAAAAGAGGGTGATATTGAGACGTCTCAAAAGCACCTCTACCTAGCCATCACCCAGCACGAACATCATCATCTCACCTGCCTTGCCTTCAGTCTCGCGCGTTCACTTTCGTCCACCCCTCGCCACCGCTCATGCTGCCACTCGCACACCACAGCAGGACCATATGTCTCCGTGAGCCCATACGCATGCAGCACCTCAAACCCCATCACCTCTATCCCCGCCAGCACCACACACCTGATGTGCCTTCAGACATAACCAGCGAGCCTGTACCTACTCCCCACCCACCCACCACACACCTGACGTGCCTTCAGACGTGCCCGCTCACTCTCATCCACCCCTCGCCACCGCTCATGCTGCCACTCGCACACCACAGCCGGACCATATGTCTCCGTGAGCCCATAAGCATGCAACACGTCAAACCCCATCGCCTCTATTCCCGCCAGCACCACACACCTGACGTGCCTTCAGCCATAACCAACGAGCCTGTACCAACTTCCCACCCACCCTGAATCATCTCACCTGCCGCGCCTTGAGCCTCGCCCGTTCATTTTCATCCACCCCTCTCCACCGCTCATGCTGCCATTCGCACACCACAGCCGGTCCATATGTCTCCGTGAGCCCGTATGCATGCAGCACCTCGAACCCCATCGCCTCTATCCCCGCCAGCACTGCCGGCGGCGGCGCCGCCCCTGCTGTCATCACATGCACCCGCCTCGCCTCCTGCCCCCTGCTGCTGCTGCTGCCATTGCTACTCCCCTCCCAACCCCCCTCCCTATTGCCCTCCCTTCTGGCCTCGTTATAGTCACCCCCCCCGTGGCCCTGGGCGCGCTGGGCGGCGAGGAAGGGCAGGCGGAGGGAGTCAGGTGCGTGGATGAGGAAGGAGAGGACGACAGGTGCAGCGCACATGTGGGTGACGCGGTGACGGGGAATGAAGGAAAAGATGCTGGCTGCTGTGACCTGGTACGGGGGTTTCGGGGAGGAGGGCCGGGAGGTTGTGTGAGAGGCTGGACTGCGGATTGAAGAGCGCAGGGCGGGTGTGGAGAGAACGGGTGATGGCTGTGGGCAAGGGAAGGGCACGCACCTCCCCACACACCTCTGTACCACACACCTCTGTACCACACACCTCTGTACCACACACCTGCCTGCCCCACGCACCTCCCTGCAGCACACGTTAGTCCCAGCCACAGCAGCGAGCACCCAGGGGAAGGTCCAGCCGTTGCAGTGGAAGAGAGGCAGCGTCCACAGGTACACGGGGGGCTGCCCTCCTGGTTGGGCATGCAGACCCCACGCTAGCACGTTCGCAAGGGCTGATAGGTATGCGCCTCTATGTGTGCACACAACACCCTGGGGGATGGGGGGAGACGGAGAGAGTAAGAGGCAGCGTCCACAGGTACGTGGGGCGCTGCCCGCCTGGCAGCGCGTGCAGGCCCCACGCTAGGACGTTGGCTAGGGCTGATAGGTATGCGCCCCTGTGCGTGCACACCACGCCCTGGGGGAGGCGGGGAGAGGGAGAGAGTGAGCGACAGTGTCCAGAGGTACACGGAGCGCTGCCCACCTGGCAGCGCGTGCAGCCCCCAGGCGAGGACGTTGGCCTGGGGCGTGCCAAAGTCCTCGCCTGCAGCCCCCAGGCTGATTGGTATGCGCCCCTGTGCGAGCACACCACGCCCTGGGGGGTGAGAGAGGGGGAGGCGGAAGGGGAGGGGAGGAGAGAGGGGGGGGAGCGCAAGGGGAAACAATGGGAAAGCGGATAAGCGGCTAGAGAGGGGCAGAGTGGGGAAGGGTGTGAAGCCCCACGCGAGCACGTTGGACAGCATTGCAAGAGAGGGAGTAGATGCCTCTGTGCATGCACATGCACACCATGCCCTGCCTGCCGCAGGGAGAACGAACGTGGCGAAGAACAGGGAGCAAAAGCTTTACGGTTTTATTGAGAATTCTAAAAAATCTTACAATAAGCTGCAGAAGCATGTATCAAGAACAGCAGCCGGTGGCAGGCGGGCACGTGGAGGCAATGAAAGCAGAGGGCAGAGCAGGTTGGGCACGCGAGGCAGAGGGAGGAGCGAGTGAGGCACACGTGAGAGCACCTTGGGTTGGGCGGTGGTGCCTGATGTGTAGTTGAGCGCAATCGCATCCCACTCGTCCTCCACCACTCCCCCACTCTCACGTGCACACGAGGCCGAGGGAAGACTACGCTGGACTAGGAAAAGCCGTGGGCAGAAAGAGCACCTTGGGTTGGGCGGTGGTGCCAGATGTGTAGTTGAGAGCAATGGCATCCCATTCATCCTCCACCACTCCCCTTCTCCTGCCCTCGCCCTGCCCACCCTCCTCTCCACCCTCCCACTCCCACTCGTACCGCTCATCCCCCTCCCCCACCAACTCCTCATACGTCGCCACTCCCCCCCTCTCCCCTCCGCCTCCTCTTCCCCGGAACCCTCCCCCTCCCCCTCCTGCGTTCAGTGATGCGGCCAGGGCTGCCACGTCAGCAGCGCTGCCACCTGGATCGCTCTGATCGGATGGCTCTTCGTCATCTTCGATAATGACAACCTGGAAAGGAGAGGGCGGGCGGTAGTGGAGGGTCGGGTGAAGGCAGGGAAGGGTACATGCACGAACACGGGGACACGTCGTGTTTTGAGTCGACTCAAAACACGGCAGGGAAGGGTGCACACATGAACACGGGGGGATGGGGACGACAAGCTAATCATGTGCAGGTGTTTTCATATTGCCCTTGGAGAACAGCTGCAACAAGAAGAATTGCGGCGAAGGCAGCACAGGGAGCATTGATCCTGGCTTGGTGCACGCGTGTGCAGCAAATGCAGGTGCAGCATGCACACTGCCACATGACACATGATGCATGACACATGACACATGACACATGACACATGATGCATGACACATGACACATGATGCATGACACATGACACATGACACATCACATCACACATCCCACCCATCAGCACCACCCAACTGCGGCATGCCTGACAGACGCCCCTTCTCCCGCAGCAGTCCCGGCAGCAGCAGCAGCACATCGGTCAGCAGCGGCGCCAGCGAGCGGTGAGCCATGACCAGACGAGCAGAGCCGTGGGCGAGGATGCGAGCGACAGTGCTGCTTGCCTTGTCACACATCACACCCGTCACCACCCACCCAGACCTCACCCCCACCACACCTCAACCACCACCACCGCCCACCTGCGGCATGCCTGACAGACGCCCCTTCTCCCGCAGCAGTCCCGGCAGCAGCAGAAAGGCATCGGTCAGCAGCGGCGCCAGGGAGTGGTGGGCCATGACCAGATGAGCAGAGCCATGGGCGAGGATGAGGGCGACTGTGCTGCTTGCCTTGTCACCACTCCTCACACCTCACCCCACCAGCACCACCAACCTGCACCACCACACCCCACCGACCACCACCACCCACCTGCGGCAAGCTTGATAGACGCCGTGACCAGGCGGGCAGCGCTGTGTGCTGCTTGCACCATCACACATCACACCCACCAGCACCATCACACATCAAACCCACCAGCACCATCACACATCAAACCCACCAGCACCATCACACATCAAACCCACCAGCACCATCACACATCAAACCCACCAGCACCATCACACATCAAACCCACCAGCACCATCACACATCAAACCCACCAGCACCATCACACATCAAACCCACCAGCACCATCACACATCACACCCACCAGCACCATCACACATCAAACCCACCAGCACCACCCACCAGCACCACCCACCAGCACCACCCACCTGCGGCATGCCTGATACACGTCCCTTCTCCCTCAACACTCCCGGCAGCAACAGCAGGGCGTCTGTGAGCAGCGGCGCCAGTGACCGGTGGGCCATGACCAGACGAGCAGAGCCATGGCACACATCATAACCATACCTCACCCACCGGCCCCACTCACCTGCGGCATGCCTGTTTGACGCCCCTTCCCCCTCAGCAGTCCCGGCAGCAGCAGCAGGGCATCGGTGAGAAGCGGCGCCAGCGAGCGGTGAGCCATGACCAGGCGAGCAGAGCCGTGGGCGAGGATGAGGGCGACTGTGCGCGCATCAAGACGCGTGTTGATGGCGTTCAGCACGGCCCCCGCCATGGGCACTCCGAAGTGTGCCTCATAAAGAGCAGGTATGTTGGGTGCCAGCACGGAAACCTGGGGGGGAGAAGGGGGAGAGGGGGAGGGGGGAACAGGGAGGATTAATGCGAGCGAGATTACACGCGTCCAGATGAGTGTTGATGGCGTTGAGAACATCCCCCACCATACGCACACTGAAGTGCGCTTCATAAAGAGCAGGAACGTTGGGTGCCAGCACTGAAACCTGGGCGGAGAAGAGGGAAAGGGGGAGTGGAGTGGGGGAACTGGGAGGATTGATGAGGGCGACTGTGCGCGCGCCCAGGCGCGTGTCGATGGCATTTAGAACAGCGCCCGCCATGGGCACTCCAAAATGCGCCTCATAAAGAGCAGGTACGTTGGGCGCTAGCACTGACACCTGGGGGGTGCGGCGCAGGGGGGACGGAGGTGGGGTGGGGGGATGAGGATCAGGAGACGGTGCGCGCATGTTGATGGCGTTCAGAACAGCGCCCGCCATGGGCACTCCAAAATGTGCCTCGTACAGAGCTGGCACATTGGGGGCTAGCACTGGCTCCTGGATGGGGGTGCAGGAGGGGAGGTGGAGGGTGCGGATGAGGGGGAAGGCGCGCGTCCAGGCGCGTGTTGAGCACAGCCCCCCCGCTCTTGGGCGCAGCAAAGCAAAGTGCGCGTCATTGAAGGCACGATACACCCAATGTACCCTTCCCTCCCCGTGTCATCACAACACCTCCCAATGTGCAAGTACCCCCCTTCCCCTGCACCCAAAGTACACTCCTCTCCCCTTCCCGCTATCCATCGTACCCAGTGGAGCCAGCACTGCCGCCTTAAGGGGGGAGAGGGGGGAGGGGAGGAGGGAAGGGAGGCGGGAAGGGAGGGGGCATGTGTGGAATGCAGGGGGAGGTCGGTGAAGGGGGTATTGTGATGACATGGGGAGTGGAGGTGTGTGCGTGTTGATGGCGCTCAGGGGGAGATGCCACGCGGGGACCGGGAGGCAGAGGCGGAAGGGCGGATTGGGCGCTGGGGCTGACGCAGGTCCGCGGGTGGGTGGATAGGGAAGGGGGAGTCGCGGGTTTGGAAGGGGAAGCGCATGGGTGCGCGGCGGGCATGGGTTGGTGCCACAGGCGGCGCCGCTGGGAGCCCGCGCATGTGTGGTGGTGATATGCGGCGCCTCAAAGGTCACGCGCAAGGGCGACGGCATAATCGAACCGGGGGGTGCCACAGCTACGAGGCGCCAGCTTCTAGGAGGCGCCAGCTACGCTCGGCACGAAACGGGATAGGATAAGGTAACCCTGCATGCTGTGTGACGCGAAAAAAACGACGCAACCCCAACCGACAGACGGACGGACGGACGGACGTCGGAGGGACGGACGGGTGAACAGACGGAGGGAGAGGGGGACGGACGGACCGTGTCGTTCTTCCTGATGCCGCGGCGGCGCAGCGCGGACGCGAGTTTGCAGCAGCGGCGGTATGTCTGGCGCCACGTCCACGATTGGTCGCCGTACATCACGGCGCATCGGTCGCCGTGCACGTCGGCGGCGCGACGGATGAAAGTCAATGGAGTCAACGGCGCGTAATTCGCCGCGTTTCGAGGAAGCGCGTCGTTATCGAAAGGACTCGTCATGGCTGCTCCCGAGAAAAAAACTTAGGCACGCGCGAAAAACGCCCGAATAACGCACAAATAGCGGCCAAATAGCATCCAAATAACACGCGAGTAACGCCCGAACAACGCCTGAATAACGTCCAAACGCGCGGAAAAAAACGCCCGTAACGTCAAAATAATGCGCGGATTTCGGAAGTGCCTCGGTATGCTATCAGCGAGCGCGCAAATTCTAAGAGTTTTCCAAAGAAGCAAGGAGGAAATTCGGGAGGAAAAGGAAGAGCAACCAGGCGCTAAGTATCCGCGAGGTCGTGCGGAGAACGGCAAAGAGCACCATGGACACTGACAGGCTTGAGGGAAAAGGGAGGGGAGGAAGGATGAAACACTTCGGACACTGACTGGTTGACTGGCTGGCTGATGTGGAAAGCGGGGTGAGTGACATGGAGCGAGTGATAGGGACCAGGGCGGTGATCGGTACGCCTTCTACTCCGAGTGCGGAAGTTGCGACGGGGTTCACAAACTCCCGAGTCGCACATGGTTAAAGCCCTCGTATCCACTATAATCACACCGAGCCTGCCCACTCCGAGTGGGCCAAAAGGTGACAAAATACACAGATTATCGCACTCCGAGTAGACCACCTACGAACCCAGCACGAACCATCATTCACGGGCAAACCCCACTCCGAGGCCCAGTTCGGCAGGCATTAAAAAAATGGCCTCGGCGGATGGGCTACAGTGAAACGACCACCCTTGAACCTTCCTTGATAAGCGCGTGAATGATTATCAAGGCTCGATATAAGCGGATCTACGCCGAACCTGACAATAATGGAATGCCTCCCGAACAGCCCTTTTTGTGCAGGCGTTTTCACCAGCCGGAATCTTCCACGAACCCAGTTTCTCGGGCAAAGTGCCCTTTTTTTTATCCGCCGCACCATGCGGCCTCGAGGCCCCGCACCATGCGGGGTATCAGTGATTGGGGGCATTAAACAGTGACTGGTCAATTAAGCCAGCCAATCACATGATCACGCGATCTATCACGGAAGGTGCCTACCATCTTGATGCCATCAATCTACACCCAGTTAATGCCACCCGAACAGTCAACCCGTTTTTTTTCTAGGTGCACTGCAGCTACTGTCCGATTTCGGGGCTGTTTCTAGAAATGCCCAGGGGCCATTTTTTGGGGGCCCATAAAAAATGCCCATAATGGCCACAATGGCCATAATGTCTGTCGAACTGGGCCCGAGTGGGCCCACCACGAACTCCAGCTTTTGAGGGTGAACTCCAAGCTCCACTCGGAGGGCGGTTCGGGATTTGAGTGTGGAGTGAGCCCCCTCGCAACTTCCCCAGGCGGAGTAACGATGGTGTACCGATCACCCCTCGGAGGGAGGAAATTTACTACGGGATTTGGGAAGGCCACAAAAACTCCTTCGTGTCGGTGGATGTCGGTGCACTCTACCGGGCCTCTCCACTCCGAGTGGGCTCACTCCGAGTGGGACGTACCAATCACAGCCCAGGTTTGGAGAGAGATGTTGTAGGGAAATATCGGGTACACCTGATGCTCGTTAGAGACCCCGAGGGTCCCTTGTGCTCTGGGCTTATAAGCGTTTTTTTGCTTTCCGTGGGGTTCTTGAACATCGCCAGAGTCTTGGTTGTAAAAGACACAGGTTGTAACATGTCTATTTGTTCCCAAACAGTGTTGGTCAGAATGCTTTGTTGTTACTTGTGGACATGGTTGCTACTCTTTTTTTGTGTTGTACTAGTGCACGCGATTACAGTTCTTCACTCCCTTTGTCACAAACACCTCCCTCAACCATCTAGCCAATGAGTTTGTCACATCTGTAACCATGCAAACAACCTCGCCAATGCAAACACCACTTAGCAAACGTGCTCAAGTCGTACACATTTGCTAGAGGAGGAGATATGCACTCCTCCAAGGGGTATCAATCCCCTCCACAGAAGCATCCACTCAACGACAGCCAAGTAGCCGACAATAATGGCGGGCGCACCGGCTTCGATCAGATCTTGCCGGCGAGCAGACTGCGCCACCCAGGCAGGGGTGGGCACCGTCATCCACGCCGGCTGCACGTGACCACGGCGACGGGAGGTCTCAACCAGCGGGGTGTGCTCAAGAGGCGTGGCGGGCGGCGGAATCGCGTTCAGATTCAGAGGCGGGCTTGCTCGCTCCATCCGCGCAATAATGATGGGGTTGCGGATGTCAAACATGGTAAAGAGGTCTTGCGGGGTGATGCAGGTGGCCTGCACGTAGTCATTAAGCATCTCGCACGGCGCACGGGCCGTGCGCCGTGCTTCGCACGAGACCGGGTTCACGTTGGTCGATCAAAATGCCGATATCGTTGACCTCCTCGTCGAGCCCGATGTCGGCGACGTTGCCTGCTGCATTGCCGTTGCCACCGTTGCCTCCTTCCATGTGCTGGCATCCGGTGCGCCACCAGCAACGCTGGATAGTGCTCTGCGGAATACTCAACCAGGCATCGCTGAGCCATGCCCGCACGAGGCGGAGGTTCGGTTTGAACCGAGCTGCCACGGATGTTGCACCTTTGGCAGACCACATACTGGTGAGAGCGCAGAGCCAATGTTGGCGATACCACGCCTTTGCCATGGCAATGAGCCCCTGGTCAAAGGGTTGGATGAAGCAGGTGATGTTCGGAGGCAGGAACACCAGGCGCACATTCCCGAGAGCACGCGTGCGGAAGCTGAAGAGGTCTTCCGTTACGGCGCCCTCTGTCTTGAGCGTGCGTTGTCGAGCACGATCACGATTTGGCGATCCTCGGCAAACATGGCCGCATCCAACTGCTCAATGCAGTGCGTAAATAACTGCCATGGGAGTGGATTCGGGGCAACACAAGACCAAACCGAATGCAAGAGGGGGGTGGGAAGGAAATGTGAGAATCTGTGAAAGTAAAGACACAAAACGTGCATGAACTCTCAAATTATATGGCGTGATGCAAAGAAAAGTTAAAAAATAATTGGGCATTGAAGATCTTGCTGACTCACCAATGATGTCATCCATCTCTTTGCGTTGTTGCGCCAGTAGCCGTTTTCCTCAAGATCGAAGTCCAAGCGAAAGTCATGGTGGCGCTTCGCCTTGGAAATGACAAGCTGCCGGAATGCGTGAGATTGGTCGTCGTTGACAAGGAAACCGACGGTGAGGCGTTCCTTGGGGACCTTCCGACCAGTCGTACGACCATTGCCGTACGTCTTGCGCGAGAGGACGGAGATGTACAGCACCATATTGTCGAAATTGTGGGTGTCTCGCGGCCTCACCTCGAGATGCATGAGGAGTGGCGAGAGCTTCTCCCGAGTCATACGGACGGCGGCCATGTCCTGGTCAGCCACCTCGCCGACCGTGCTCATACACCTGACGCCCTGGCGGTGCGACGCACAGCGCAACTAGCCGACGGAGCAGCGGAACGACGCAGGCAGTCCCTTGTCGCGTGCCATGTTCGCGACATGGTCGTGAATAGTCGCAAGAGTGAGAGGCAAACCAGCAGGACCCGCATTGGCAATCCAGCGTCCCATCGTGCACTCCAGCTCAGGGTGCGCCACCTTACACGCGGATTGCGTTGTCGGTACCATCTGGGGTTTTCCATCGTTCGGCTCCCTTCAGCACGCGTCCGATGGTGGAATGGTCAGGCCGAACCCCGAAGCGCGTGAAACACTAGTGCGCAAGATCTACGTGGCGCAGCAAGGGGTTGGCAACATGATGGGCGCAGATCGCCCTCTTGACATGCAACGCTAGTTGAGAGTTGTGATAGAGACATGGCATGTTGTGCCTCGGAGTTAAGAAGCGAGAATGAGTGACGAGCGAGTTTCTGTAGGATTTATCTCGTTCGGATGTGCGCGCATCATAATGCTAGGAGTGTGTGAGCAGGATGGTTGGGTTGGTGCAGACTTCAAGATGTTCACATACATCGGGCTAAGTTTCAAGAAATTATGCTACCCTGCAATTGCAACCATGAAGTGTGGCGTGTCTGGGTTGCAGAATGAGCGGCCCTCAGAGGGTTTGTACCGAGCAAGGGCAAGGTGTTAAACTGTATTATGCTTGTAGGCTGTAGTGGGGTAGCCAATATGGGGTACAACCCCAACTAGGGTTTCATATTTGTACCCAAACTTCTGTTAGTTCAATCATTCTTGCCTAGTGATTCTGACATGGTATTCAGAGCAGGAGGTCCCTAGGACCTACCGATCGTTTTTAGGGCCCACCACCGCTCGCATGCGGTTACCACGCTACCCCGTTCCCTAGCCTCGTAGCGCCCTCGTGCGCCCTCGTTAGCGCCCTCGCGCGCACCCTCGTTAGCGCCCTCGCGCCCCCCCAACGTCAGCGCCCTCGCGCGCCCCTTCGTTAGCGCCCTCGCGCGCCCCTTTGCTAGCGCCCTCGCGCGCCCCTTACTAGCGCCCTCGCGCGCCCCTCACTAGCGCCCTCGCGCGCCTCTCACTAGCGCCCTCGCGCGCCCCTCGCCGAGCCGCCCGCCCGCCCGCTCGCTGCCCGCTTCGCGGCCCGCTCACTACGCAGCCCGCCCGCCCGCTCGCTGCCCGCTTCGCGGCCCGCCCGCTTCGCAGCCCGCTCGCTCGCTGCCCGCTTCGCGGCCCGCCCGCTTCGCAGCCCGCTCGCTCGCTGCCCGCTTCGCGGCCCGCCACTTCGCAGCCCGCCCGCCCGCTCGCTGCCCGCTTCGCGGCCCGCCCGCCTCGCAGCCCGCTCACCCCGCTGCCCGCTTCGCGGCCCGCCCACTTCGCAGCCCGCCCGCCCGCTCGCTGCCCACTTCGCGGCCCGCTCGCATCGCAGCCCGCTCGCCCCGCTGCCCGCTTCGCAGCCCGCCCGCCCGCCCGCTGCTCGCTTTGCGGCCCGCCCGCCTCGCAGCGTCGCCCGCCCACCGTGCTGCCCGCTTGCAGCGCCGCCTGCCCGCCGCGCTGCCCGCTTTCCGGCCCGTCCGCCGCGCTGCCCGCTCGCAGCGTCGCCCTCCCGTCGCACTGACCGCTTGCAGCGCCGCCTGCCCGTAGCGCCAGCCTCGCCCGCTGCTCTCTATCCGTGCACAGTAGTCTTCCCCTGCTGCGGCAGTTTTCGTTACTCTGTCACACTGTCGCTATGGCTTCCATTCGCGTGCTGTCGTTCGATGCTGAGGGCCGCCCTGTGCGTTTCACCGCTTGGCTAGATGACCTGCAGCTGTTTCTCTTGAGCGATAGCAAGGAGCATGTGTCGCTCTATGACTACGCGTCTGGTGCTGCGCCTGCCCCTCCTGCCACAGCTGAGCTTAGTGTTCGTTCCCACTGGCAGACTCGTGACGCAGCTGCTCGCCTAGCCATTCGCAGTCACCTGCCGTTAGCTGAGCTAGAGCATTTTGGCGACTGCAAATCCGCTAAGGCCCTGTACGACGCTGTCGTCGCTCGCTACTCCTCGCCTGCCACAGCTGAGCTTAGCCGCCTCATGCTGCCGTACCTGTTCCCCGATCTGTCCACCTTTACTACAGTCGCCGATCTTATCACCCACCTTCGCACTAGTGATGCTCGCCTGCGTGCCGCCCTTCCCACCGAGTTCTGCGCTAAGAACCCCCCTCCACTGTACTGGACACTCCACTTCATAGTCACCCGTCTCCCTGACACCCTCCGCTCAGTTCGAGACCACTTCCTTGCTCGCTGTCCCACTGAGCTCACAGTCGCCCTCCTAGAGGAGCACCTGCTCGCGGCCGAAAAGAGCATTGTAGCTGTCGGTGCTGCTCGTGGCGCTCCTCGCACCCCCATCTTTGAGGGGTGTTCTCCCTCTCCCCTCGCTCCCTCCTACGCTGCTGCTGCTGCTGTTGACTTCCTTGGTGCTGAGTCTGTTGGCGCTGCTTCTACTCCTGGTGGGAGGCGCCGCACCGGCAAGGGCAAGGGGGGCAAGGGTGGTGGTGGTGGCGCTGGGGGGGGAGGAGGTGGGGGAGGTGGGGGGGGAGGCGGTGCTGGAGGGAGCGGTGGCGGGAGCGCTGGTGGGAGTGGGGTCGGTGGTGGAGACGGGGGCGGCGGAGGGACCAGTGGCAGTAGTGGCGGCGGCGGCGGTGGCGGCGGTGGCGGTGGTGGCGGTGGTGGCGGTGGCGGTCGGAGCGGTGGTAGTGGTGGCGGCGGAGGTCGGAGTGGAGGCACTGGCTCTGGCCAGAGCTCCCAGCAGCAGCAGCGTCCCCAAACGACCCAGCAGCTTCGTGAGTGGCTTGCTCAGCGTGGGACGTCGGGGGCCAGTGCCCGCTGTTCTTATGTCATTCGCACAGGTGACCGCAAGGGACAGACGTGTGGGAGGTTCCACACCCCGTACCGCTGCTTCTCCCGCCTTGACGACGCTTGGCGTGAGGAGATGGGTGCGGATGTTGAGCGCCCCCACTGGGCTGAGCTCATGAGGGCTGGTGTTGATGTCTTTGCTCTTGACTATGATGCTATTATTGCTGCCATGTATGCATTGACTGTTAGTGCCGAGGGAGACTGTTACTTGTGTGTGCCGCCTGACCCAGGTATAGAGCCCGCTGCCCTGGGTACTAGTGAGTCTGCTCTCTCTGGTATGGTGCCCCCTGTACTTGCTCCCCCCAGTGCTGTCCCGGCTGGTTTCGAGTCTGCTCTCTCAGGTACAGCACCCACAGAGACTGCTCTCTCAGGTACCGCACCGGCTGAGGCCTGTCACACCTTCACCCTTGACTCAGGTGCTTCCCGTTGCTTCTTTCGTGACAGTACTGAGCTCACACCGCTTCCTGCACCGGTCCCAGTCTCCTTGGCTGACCCCTCTGGGGGCCCAGTCCTTGCCCAGTCCACCACTGTCCTCCCTTGTCCGGCGGTTCCGTCTGGCTCGTTGTCGGGTTTTCACCTCCCCTCGTTCTCGACGAACCTGGTGAGCAACGCTGTCCTCCAGGATCAGTGGGTTGACACCTTTACCCCTGGCGGACAGCGTGTGGCGATCTGCACGTGCTCCAGGACTGGCCGTCACCTGGCTACGTTCACCCGTCGGCCGGGGTCGAGTCTCTACACACTGACCACTGCGTCTCCCCAGGTAGCTGCTGTCGGTCAGGTGTCTGCGTCAGGTCTGGTGGCCCACGCCTGTGAGTGTCGTTCCCTGTCGCACCAGACTCTTCTCTGGCACCACCGCCTGGGTCACCCCTCCTTGCCACGCCTTCGTGGCATGCACCGTCGCCTCCTTGTGTCCGGTCTTCCCAGGTCCCTCCCTCCCCTCCCTGCCTCGCCTGCGCCGCCCTGCCTTCCTTGCGTCGAGGGGCGGCAGCGCGCCGCTCCTCACTCCTCCTCGTTCCCCCCGACAGAGGCTCCTCTGGAGACCCTCCACCTGGACGTGTGGGGCCCAGCCCGCGTTCGTGGTCAGGGCGGTGAGCGGTATTTTTTGCTGGTTGTCGACGACTACTCGCGTTACACCACGGTCTTCCCCTTGCGCACCAAGGGTGAGGTCCCTGCTGTTCTGATCCCTTGGATCCGCACGGTTCGTCTCCAGCTCCGCCGCCGTTTCCGGACGGATCTTCCTGTCCTGCGTCTGCACTCTGACAGAGGTGGTGAGTTTTCCTCCGATCTCTTGAGGACCTTCTGTCAGGCGGAGGGCATCGAGCAGACCTTCACGCTTCCGGACTCCCCACAGCAGAATGGGGTTGCTGAGCGCCGCATTGGCCTGGTCATGGAGGTCGCTCGTACCTCCTTGGTCCACGCGGCGGCTCCCCATTTTCTGTGGCCGTTTGCTGTTCGGTACGCCGCGCATCAGCTCAACCTCTGGCCCCGTGTCTCCTTGCCGGAGACGTCGCCCACACTGCGTTGGACGGGGGAGGTTGGCGATGCGTCGCGCTTCCGGGTGTGGGGTGCTCGTGCCCTTGTCCGCGATACGTCCGCGGACAAGCTCTCCTCCCGCACGCTTCCCTGTGTCTTCCTTGGCTTTGTCCCTGACGCGCCTGGCTGGCAGTTTTACCACCCCACCTCGCGCCGGGTCTTCGCCTCTCAGGATGTCACCTTTGACGAGTCGGTCCCTTTTTACCGTCTCTTCCCCTACCGCACTGCCCCCCTCCCTCCCCCGCCGCTTTTCCTTGCTCCTGGTCCCCCTCCGGTAGACCCCCTTCCCCCTCAGGGTCCTGCTCCTTCAGGTGTCTCTCAGGTAGACCCTCCTCCTGTCGCTGAGCCTGTCGAGGTCACAGGTGACTCAGGTGCTGCTGCGGGTGGTGCTGCTGGGAGTGCTGAGCCTGGGGGTGCTGAGCCTGGGGGTGCTGAGCCTGGGGGTGCTGGGCCTGGGGGTGCTGGGGCTGCAGGTGCTGGGACTGAGGGTGCTGGAGCTGAGGGTACGGTGCCTGAGAGTACGGAGCCTGGGGGTGCTGCGCCTGGGGGTGCTGAGCCTGCGGGTGAGGGGCCTGGGA